TTTCTTTGCAAGCCTGTTTGATACTATTACAGTGCATTTTTATTATGTCTGCACAAATTGGACCCAAATTGATTTGAACTGGAGATTTGAGAAGTTAGAAGAAGTTATGATTTGATTCAAGCTAATAGGCACAAAGAGCCTTGATCTCCAATACTTCTCAGCCAGGCTTGGCTTCCAGACACTACTGATTTACTCTCTTTAGTAATAGAACTGACATGCTAGTATGTTGCTAAAAATTGTCTGAATAAAAATTGTTTGAATAAAAGACTGAAATAAACATGTATTCCTCCAAAGAAAAGAAGTGGATCACTTTATTCTTATTGACTGCCAACATTTCCATTCCTTTTTGCTTTTTCTTCTATAGAAGTTGCTTTTCTCATCTATCGGTCAGGTGCCAAATTTGGAGTCCTAAGAACATCATGTTCCCTTCAATTGGCTGGAACATCTTTTGATAACTGTTTCATCTACTACAGTTCTCCTTAGATAGATCGCCTCCATTACTTGTAACAGTTATTTTGATTTGGCTTTGTGCTTCAGTTTTCACATTGTCTACAGCAGTGGTTCTCAACCTTTTTGATGCCGCGACCCTCAACCGGTCATAAGTCGAGGACTACCCAACTGGTCATAAGTCAATTTTCTCTGCCCGGGAGCGCCGTGCATGCGTGGTGCCGCCCCCTGCGCCAGCCAAAGCGTAGCTGGCAAGCAGCAGAGACGGCTCAGGCCGACCACCAGCTTGGCCACCAGCTGGCCAGCCCAAGGGAGGTAAGGCACCCGCCGGGCCCCACGCATGCCAGCAACCCTCCCTGTGCCCGCCAGCCTCCCACCTCCCACCACTGCTCCTCTTTTACTTACATTTTTAGTAGTTACTCAGCAGGGAGGGGTGGAAACTTCCAGACAGCTCGCCTTTGCTGCAGACAACTTGCAGCACCGTTTGCAGAATGGGACTTTTGGCGGGCTCAGCAGGGCAGAGACAGCCTGGACAATTCCTATTGGCTTTTGAAAGCCAATAGAATTAGACTGTATTCAAGAGAGTCTATTTTATTGGCTTTCAAAAGCCAATAGAATAAAAGGGAGTAGCACAGCTAAGGAAAAAGGGGAAAAAATGGCGTTGTTTGGTGACCCCCGTGAAATGGTCGTTCGACCCCAAATGGGGTTGCGATCCACAGGTCGAGAACCGCTGTTCTACAGTTATCAAATAACTAGGATTTTTCAGATAAGGCCAGTTTTCTTTACTTTTGTTAACCTATTCCTTCTTTTACTGAGCCTTTTCTCATTTGCATCTTACCATTTTGGAAATGCTTCCTGGTGACATCTTTATTTTTCTAAGTTTTCATTAGGTTGCTCTCAGTGTCTACTCACCCCACACATTAGATAAGTCTTTGGTTAGCTAGATCTGTGTTTTCCCCTTAAGTTGAGAGCAACTAGCAGCTGTTTCAGAAAGAGAATTACATGTTAATTTCCCAAATCCACCTAGAAGCAGCAAAGTTAGGTGATCAATAGTGAGCAGTGAGTTTGTGTTTGTGGGTAGGATAGGATTGTCTATAATCTATTGGCATTTTGGCCTGGTGCTGAGCCCACATCCTCTACTAGCCCAGGGCACTTGTCACTGATCCCATTTTTTGTAATGGGACAGGAAGAGCAGAGATGGATTGCAACTTGACAGAGTCAAGAAATCACATAATGAATGGGATAGTTGTCTCTTTAGATGGCTTTGAATGAGTTGACTCTCCCCCCTTATGACACAGTATCCCCTCATTCAATCGCCTGTCAGCAGCAAGTTTTAAGTGTGCCTTACTCCTTTTTCAGAAAAAACAATACATCTGTTTTCAAACCATGTTGCCAGTCAGTTGGTCATTGGAGGGGCATGTCTGCACACTAAAGCAGGAGAGCAGAAGGAAGGGATAATAATAATAATAATAATAATAATAATAATAATAATAATAACAACAACAACAACAACAACCACTACCACCACCACCACCACCACCATCACCACCACCACCACCACCACAACAACAACAATAATAATAAAGTTGGAAGAGACCTTGGAGGTTATCTAGTCCAGGGCTTTTCAACCAGTGGTACGGGTACCACCTGTGGTACATTGGCACCTGGTGGTACGCGACCATCCTAGGAAAGTGGTAGTGGGGGAGGGGAATGAGCTGAACCGCTGGCAGCACCGCACAAGCCTGAATGAGAGATGGCTGGAGTTGCAGGGCTGTCAGGGCTCAGCGGAAGCACCAGGATCAGCGCCAGGCTCCAGCTGGAGCTCGGCGCTGATCCTGGCGCTTCTGTTGAGCCCAGAAGAAGCGCCGATCAGCTGGAATGTTGTAGCATCTCCAGGGTCTTGTGATTTACATTCAGATGCTTGGCAACTGATTCATATTTATGATGGTCACAGTGTCCCAGGGTCATGTGAAGTGACCAAAACCTGCTGCAACCACCCAGCAGATGGGGGGGAATAAAAACCAAACACCTCCCACCCCACCCCCGCTGCCAATCCTCAACAGAAATGTTCACAACAATGAAATGTTCACAACAAGGCAGGTGTCTTGCTTGGCTGTGGCTTGGGGGGCATTTTTTCAGTGCCATTGTAACTTCGAACAGTCACTAAGCGAACTGTTGTAAGTCGAGGACTACCTGTACTTTATCACTGGTTTCCTTTTTTGGGGGGGTCATCAAGTTTTTGACACCTTGCTAGGCAACTGGTGGTACTCGGATATTGCCATATCCTAAAAATGGTACAATGGGTGAAAAGGTTGAAAAGCCCTGATCTAGTCCAACTCCCTGCTCAGGCAGGAAACCGTATACCATTTCAGACAAATGGCTGTCCAGTCTCTTCTTAAAAACTTCCAGTGTTGGAGCATTCACCACTTCTGGAGGCAGGTTGTTCCACTGGTTAATTGTTCTAACTGTCAGGAAGTTTCTCCTTAGTTCTAGATTGCTTCTCTCCTTGATTAGTTTCCATCCGTTGCGTCTTGTTGTGCCTTCAGGCATCTTGGAAAATAGCTTGATTCCCTCTTCTTTGTGGCAGCCCCTGAGATACTGTTCTTCTTAGTAGCCTGTTTCCTCTGGCTAGCAACTTTATTAATCTATCCCCAGCATCCTGGACTATTTATCTGCAGGTCAGAGACCTGAAAATTTCTTTTCTTTACCAACCACTTCCTCCACTCTGCACAAAAGCTGTCTTACAGGCTTGTTTTAGTGTTGGGTTTTGAATCAGTGCTAAACTCTAGCAAACCTTCCAAATAGATGATAGCCAGATAGGAGTTTCTGTGTATTAAATCTCTAGAAGCTCTTCAGCTTTACTGAACTGTTCCTGTCCCACACCCCAGATCAACTTTTCAAAAGACTTGATTTTCACAACTGGCCACACCCATGGATCTAACCATGTACTTTGCTGCAGCCAGTCCAGGATAAATTTAGTATATATAACTCTTCAGTAACTCAAAAAATCCACTATTAGAAATAGAGAGTAGCCTTAGTGTTCCTCCATTTAATTAATATGTAAATGCAAATAAATGCTTATCTTTCTCAAGAATAGGGCCCATGAATTACATGCTTGATACATCACTAGTAACTCTTGGAGAATCCTATCTTCTTCTCCAGATTAGAAATCCTGGGATCTTATGCTGTATTCAAAATTTGATCGAATTGATCAGTATACCATTTTCTCAGAAATCAGACCTTGGAAGATCCAAATATTGCAACTGTTGCAAGAAGAAAGAAAGAAAGAAAGAAAGAAAGAAAGGAAGGAAGGAAGGAAGGAAGGAAGGAAGGAAGGAAGGAAGGAAGGAAGGAAGGAAGGAAGGAAGGAAGAAGGCTGTTCTGCACCTGGAACAACCTTTTTGAGGATGAAACAGGCCCTACTCAAAGTGTTTCACACAGTTCTAAGCCATGGCAATCACTATTTTGTTTAACCTGGATTAAATTTTTCTCCAGAATTCAGAAAACTGCCCATCCCTATTGTTTAAAATAAAGTTGGTTCCCCCTTGACTCAGAGCCCTACTTATCTGAACTGAAGTGAGGTTGTTGAATGGCATGTTCACAGAAAGTAAATATTATTTACTTCAGCTCTGTCTATTTAAGAATTTTTCCTTGCAGGTTAATACATTTGGGATGTGAGAGGAACCTTGGAGTCCTAGTGGATCATCACTTAAACATGAATTAACAATGTGCGACAGCAGCCAAAAAAAAGCTAATACAATCCTTGGTTGTATAAATAGAGGCATAGAATCAATATCACATGAAGTATTAGTACCGCATTATAAATCCTTAATTAAGACCACACTTGGAATTACTGCATCCAGTTTTAGAACAGAACAGAATAGAATAGAATAGAATAGAATAGAATAGAATAGAATAGAATAGTTGGAAGGAACTTTGGAAGTCTTCTAGTCAAACCCCCTAGTTAGGCAGGAAACCCTAAACCATTGCAGACAAATAGCTGTTCAATCTTTTTTTTAAAAACTTCCAGTGTTGGAGCATTCACAACTTCTGGAGGCAAGTTGTTCCACTGATTAATTGTTCTAACTATCAGGAAATTTCTTCTTAGTTCTGGGTTGCTTCTCTCCTTAATTGGCTTCCATTCATTGCTTCTTGTGCTGCCCACAGGTGCTTTGGAGAATAGCTTGACTCCCTCTTCTTTCTGTGGATGGCCTTGGAATGTCGCCCTAATGAGCAGATTATGCAGGTCTATTCTATCTTTTAAACCTAGTTGATTTTGTCTGGTTATGGTTTATTTTTTGACCTCTTCTATCTGAGGCACACCTAAGAGCTTTGTTATCAGAAAGAAATAGTCTACAATAAAAAGGAAGTAATTAGATTTTTATTGAGTATGGGGCAATGTTTTCTATAGTTCATGGAAACTTGTTATCACTGTGATGCTATTCTTGTTGGCAGACAAATAGATCATATATATGAATTGCAGATACTGATCCTTGAAAAAAATTATCATAAGAGTGAAGTAGAAAACCACACCCCTGCATTGCCACAAACTTTTAAATTCAGGTGCTGGTGGTCTGAACCTGAGACAGAAGTGTTGGGAAGATGGACACCACAATGAAGCTGTCTTGGATGGTGTTGTTAGTGTTTTCAGGTAAACTCTATGCTTAATCTTCTCCAGGGTGATTGCAATAGAGTGTAATAGATGGATCAGACTTCTTCATCCAAGTTTTCCAAAAAGGAACTGTTTTGAAAAGGTACAGGGACGGCTGAAACTGAATCTCTGCATTCTGTGTATCTTCAGCTAATTAAAAATGTTTACTATTAGAAAGCAGTGATCAGATTCCATATAAAGTAGTACATTCTGAATTGAATTATACAATTTAGCTTTATAGGAAAGTATATATATTTAAATGATTTCTATATCAAAATGAGCTCCATTCACCCCTTAACTTCCAAATTGTGCAACCTATTTTTCTCTTATTGCAAAGTTTTACTTTAAATATATGTTTAGCTAATATACTACCATCTATAATTTTTGGGGTGTCTTTTCAGATGTTAAGAATCTGTTAGTTATCAGAATTCTTCATGCTAAATCTTTATTAACTGTCTATTAACCAGCTTTATTAATCTTTATTAACTGTCTATTAATCAAGTTTTTTAAACAGTATAGATATTAGGATTTAATATTATATCAGTACATTCAATATCTCACTCAAGTCTCATGAGAAATAATTGATGAACATTCTTTGAATAATATTTTCATACCAGCTATGTATCTGCTTAATTGTCATGCCATCTAACCCATGATTGACTAGTATGCTAAGCAGAATATTGTGTCCAATTTTTCCAACTGCTTTGTTGCAGTTAAGGATTCTATATCTAAGCATTCCCAGTTATCTGTCAAAAATGGTATAAGATTAATTTGGCAAAAATTGTTCTTGATCTCTTTATGGCTTTCTCTGAAATTTTGGGTATCTCTGTAGAACTAACTGATCCGTTGTTCCCTAGACCAGTGGTTCTCAACCTGTGGGTCGGGACCCCATTTGGGGTCGAACGACCATTTCACGGGGGTCGCCAAACAACGCAGTCCGCCATTTTTTCCCCTTTTTCCTTAGCTGTGCTACTCCCTTTTATTCTATTGGCTTTTGAAAGCCAATAGAATAGACTCTCTTGAATAGAGTCTAATTCTATTGGCTTTCAAAAGCCAATAGGAATTGTTCAGGCTGTCTCTGCCCTGCTGAGCCCGCCAAAAGTCCCATTCTGCAAACGGTGCTGCACCAGTTGAGTAGTCCTCGACTTACGACCGGTGGAGTAGTCCTTGACTTACAACCGGTGGAGTAGTCCTCGACTTACGACCGGTTGGGGGTCGCGGCATTAAAAAGGTTGAGAACCACTGCCCTAGACCCTAGTTTCTCCTTTGTTTCAACATAAGGAATATTTTGCCCTATTTGGTCATCTGGCATTTCCATGGTTTTCCTGAGAATCTGTTCTTCAGAATTTCTTAAGAATAATACATAAAGCTTCAGCCAGACAAACAATTGGTTTTTTAAATGCCTAAGGATATATAATTCTTGAGGGTGAAATTTAAACTCCTTTAAAATAGATAAGTGCTGTGTGATTATGTTTCTTTCCATCTCAAGTTTCAATTTTGAACTTTATCCTGTTCATTACAACTGTGCCTCTTGCTCTCTTATTGGTGAAAGTGGCAATGCATTAGCTGTCGATTAGTTCAGCATTTCTTTATAATATGCTAGGATTTAATTCTCTTAGTTCAGTGCCCCCCTCCCCCACCTTTTGGACACCAGGGACTAGTTCCCAGGAGAGAGGTTTTTCTGCGGAATGGGGGAACGTGGTTTTGCATGCTGCCTGGATCCTGGGGATGGGGCTTCGTTTGTTTGCATGGCCCAGTTTCTGGCATGCCATGACCTGGTGCTGGTCCACTGAAGATGTTACCTAGCCTGGTAACAAAATGTTCAGAAACCAACCCACAAGCTCGGAGAACGAACCTTCACCCTCATCCTACACCCGAGCTATAGATATTCACCATAATTGTATCTTGTTATTCTTAACATTCCTAGCTAATCTCCATTCATTTTGAGCACTTATTCACTGCACTTTCATGCAACCTGTATGTACTTTGGTAGTTTATCTGCCCATCTCTTTGTTATAGCTTTATTTGTTTGTTTCCAGATCTTTCCTAAGCTTTTCATGTAGCCATGCTGGCCATCTTCTTGTATTCATTCTTCTGCCTTTTAAAATTAGGATGGTCCCTGCAATATCACTAAGTTCATTCATTAGTATTTCTGGGCAGTTGTGGATATTTTAACATGTACTGTGTTACTTCTCCTCTGTTTGTATTCTTTCTCCTGAACGAATTTTATAATTGTTATATTTCAGTTATGGAAAACAGACCCTGAAGTGTCTGTTATAGTTTTTTCTGTGTGTGTGCCTTCAATTCAGTGCTGAGTCCTGGGGACTGCATAGACCAGGGCTCTTCAAACTTGGCCCTTTTATGACTTGTGGACTTCAATTCCCAGAATTCCTCAGCCAGGCATGCTGGCTGAGGAATTCTGGGAGTTGAAGTCCACAAGTGATAAAAGGGCCATGTTTGAAGACTCCTGGCATAGACAAATCCCTGCATTTTTCTTGGAAAGATTTCAGAAGTGATTGGCTAACGTTTCCTTCCTAGGGCTGACAGAGATGGACTGGCCCAGGGTTAGAAAAATTCACGAGAAGGCCATTTTAGTCTTCAGGTTCTTGAACTTCCATACTAGCTATACAAAGTGTGCTTGTAGATATTATCTGTGTATGATTTGTTGTCACATAAATTGTTTTTTTTTCTTCCATTAAATCATATCCAATTTGTGGACACTGCCTAGCTCAGTCCCTGAAGTTTTCTTGGCAAGGTTTTTCAGTGATTGGCCATTTCCTCCTTCTGTGGGCTGAGAGAAAGTGACTAGCCCAAGGTCATCCAGCTGGCTTTGTGCCTAAGGAGGGACTAGAACTATTCTAGCATGATACCTTAACCACTACACCACCCTGGTTCTCTAAATTGTTTATTATATTTATTTACTACATGCACCATCACACAATCCATGTTTCTAAATGGTTTACAAGCAAAAACCTAAAAAATGCCCTACAATTCAATAAAACAACCTACTTAAAACACAACATCTAATCCCAGTTTTAAAAAAAACATTATCTCATTGCCATCCACTGACATTTATGCCTAATAAAATGCCTAAATAAAAATATTTTAGCAACCCTTCTTGTTGTTTCATTTGACGTTGTTATTAATCCTATCTGAAAGAGACATACATAAAATAAAAATGAAGAATTCACCACATGCATAAATAAAAGGGAGAAAGATACATTTACAGACTCAGTAAACATATAAAAAAGAGCCACAGTGTCTTTTTTTTTTTAATCTTTAAAGCCTAAATGCCTTTACACCTCCAGGTTATTTAAAGGAGCACCTTTTCTTTATGTGCATGCCCAGATTTTAAAAGTGTTTGTCTAACAAGGTCCCTACCAGCAAAAAAGGAGAAGGGGGAACTTGCAAAGGAGAAAGCTTTTTCTGTGGTGGTGCCCTAATTCTGGAATTATTTTCTAAGGAAGTTTTAAATGATGCCCATCCTAGCATCATTTTGGTGCCAGGTGAAGACTTTTTTCCAAGCTTTAGCATTTGCTAAATTGTAATTGCATTTTAACTTATATTGCTTTACATATTGAATGGCTGACTAGTTGCTGACTAGTTTATATGAGGTTTTCATTTTGCCCTTCGTTTGATTTTGTTGTATACACATTTTATTCTAAACTATGTAGAGAGTTCACCTTTCAAAATGTTAAAGAAATAAATAAAGGCATAACCTATAACTCATTTTTTCAGCCACCTGTGTACATTTTATGAAACTTTGCAAGAAAAAAAAACAAGTTAAAAATGGGTGGCAAATATAGATACAGCTCAGAAAATGAAAGGTCTTAATCAAGTTCCGATTTAATATTCATGTATGTTGAGTTACCAGCATAATATGATAGTTGAGTAGGTTGATCTGTCATATAATGCAGAACTGATGTTCCTTTTCTAACTTAGACACACTTTCCTGCCATCACAAGTGTACAAAATCAGGAAAATACTCCTGCAATTTTAGCCTTTATGTAAAGAGGAAAAATGCCCATGAATTTTAGTTTAATCAACCATTAATTTGGGTGTCTGGACATAGTATTTTGTCTGCTTGAATCCATATTTGCTTTTTCAGGAATAGTGGCAATGGGAAGAGAAAGTTTTCTTTATATTATTCAAACCAGCTAGAGAGGATTTGGGTTTGTATTATGTTCTTTGGTTTGTGTGCAAGGCAGAGAGAAAGAGACTTTACATCTTCCTTACACTTCACTGCTATTATACATACATGTAACTTGAATTGTGTACTTGCTTTGTATTATTTTATTAATCATGATTGCTTATTTGACAAATGTATAAAATAGATAAGTGAGGCATGCAATATGATAGGTTATATTGTTAGGTTTTAGTTGTCAGAGTAATTTGTAAGCATTCACTAAGCTTTCCAGTTTACATGATATATTCATTTAAAATTATCTGGAAAAATATTTTGCAATGTCATCTAAATTCATGAACGCAAGGGTGTCAAACTCGCAACGTCATGTGACGTGTCACGATGTATTGCAACTTTTTTTCCATTGCCAGCAATGGGGTGGGCACTGTTTTGGCATGACTCATCCGGCCTTTGGGCCAGCAGTTTGACACCCCTGGATTAGCATTTTGATTCTATTATTGCTTCTACAGGTAATTCAGCAATAACACCAGCAATAAGATGGCCAAGACCAGCCCTAGAAAAAACTCCTGTCTGTAAGTTTTTTACTTTTTTTAAATAACATTGTTGCTGCTGAAAACTCTGCTGAGACATTTACTGCCATGCTTATACATATTTACACTCCGGTATCCATAATTTGCTTTAAAGATATATAGTATATTATATAAGATAAAGTACTGTATCTCTACAGCAAATTTCTTTCTAGATTTGCCTCAATCATAATTTCAAATATGTAATTTTGACAGAGCACAGATAATGTCTCTCCACAGCATCCTGACTCTTTTGACATTGCCTTATTGTGTGAACCAGTTCATGCACCAAACCAAATGGAGAAATGATGGTTGAGGCAATTGGCTTTGGACTGAACTGCAGTCCCCATATCAATTCCCCTCCAGTATCAGATTCACCCAGGTGATGTGGCCAAAGGCTTATTTCTATATGTTTAAGAGGGGATTGCAAATATTTAGAAAAAGGAGCTTGAGAATTCATGGGAATGCATGTAAAACCCGTCCCCAAACCATTAAATAACAGGAAATGCCTCTGCAGGGGTCTTTGGGTAACTACAAATATAGGAACTTAAACCCTGATAATGTGGGGATCAGCTACAATGTAAGGAAACTGGGTGGTCCTTGGGGCTCTCTGAGCTTGGTTGTTTTCTTGCAGAGGTTTCATTACCCAAACTAGGTAACCTCATCAATGCTACCTCTCATTTCAACCCTGAGCTACAAATATTCTCCTTTAAAGGAACTGGGTCTTCAGTGGCATCTCTAATTTTGTTGCTCTGTTTGTTTATCCGAAGAATTTTCAGTTACAGAGCAGCAATATATTAAGCAATACTCCATTGATCCATTTCAAACCAATGTTTAGTTCCCCATTTATTTTCAGTTATCATACAAAAATGAGTTTTATAGTTACTTTTGAGTTTATAAAGAATTACAGGTAGAGATACCATTATGTGAAAGGTAGGGATCTTGTAAAATTGTTCAGATGCAATCTCTAAAATTAATTTGGGGCGCCCCCCTGAGGGCATCAGTTGCTACAACAAGATATGTGGAAAATCACTACGCCCAGAATAACTGCTTTGCAGTTCCAACTCCCTTAAGATTTTTAAAAGCAGCAAGCTGAATTTGGTTATTTATCCTTGTCTTTAATTATTCTTATTTGTTGATTACATGAGAGATGGAGTGGTTCATAAAATGAAGCCTTTAAAAAAAGTGTGTGTGTGTATATATATCTAACTGGTTAGATAGAAGTATGAAGTAAAATGAAAGTTATTGTGATATTTTCTAATTTAATATATTATTAATATATGTGGCTATATTCCACGTGGGATGCTATTCCTTTTTTATATTATACTATTTTCTTTCAAGTTGTTTTCATTAAGAAAATTTTGTACGTGTGTGTACATAGATAGATATCAAATAAGTTTTTCTTTTTTTCAGTTCATTTTCCAGAAACCATATTACCTGATTACAGAAGAGGTAATATTATACACTGTGCTTTCATATAATTTGCTAACATGAAAAAAGGTTATGCTTGATATCCAGAAATCACAAATAATTTGGATGTTACCTATGGCATTTCTTTCTGTTTCTGATTATAGTTATGTTTACAATAACACTATCGTTTAGTTTAGTTTCAAGGACTATTTATTTAAGTTAAGCTTTCATATCTGGCCTGTAAGATTCCAGAAGATCACGGGATGGCCCCACAGTAATATAAAACTCTGATTTTGCAGCCATCTGGTAGTGTGGGTTTTTACAGCCGAATTTTGCTAGATTGATTTTTTTCCCTCATAGATTTGCTAATGTTACACATAGTACACATAGTAATAAGGATGCTATAGTTAACAATTGAAAATAAAATTTTACCCTAATGGTTATAGGCTAGAGTAAGACCCAAGAAACCACAGGTTAATTCGATTTGCAGTCTGGGACTGGTAAAAACCTAATAGTGTAAGTCCTAACCAAAGACCAAAGAGCTGTTAAGGTAACATCTGAATATATAGGCAGTTCCAAGTAAGGTGGTTTTTTGCAAAGTCAAAATATTCAGGTCTGAAAATTTTCCTATATCTAGGCAGCCCTTTGGGTATTGCTCCAAGGGCTCCTGTTAACTATTGGTATAGCCACTGTTGTTGTTGCTATCATTTCTCTTGTAATCTTTTTGGGCCTCTGTGTTGGAGATGCTGTAAATTGAAGCACAAAATCTCAATATGCCTATTTTCTCTCAATGTCTTCAAAAAAAGAAAACTAGCACTGTTGAATACAGTTGTATTAAAAATGTTAATTTTCTAGCAACAATATAGAAGAGATTGTCATCATCTTCTTAAATTCTCTTAAAATTCCCAAACAAGTATACATTTGGCATTTCCTAATGCTCTCCCAAAAAACTTGATCCCAACAGATCCAGCCCTGATTATTTGTTTTGAGATCAGTCAAGGTTGACTGGTGCTGGATATCACATCATATCTGCATATTAAATTTGTGAATCATCAGGAAGACGATACTAACTGATTCATTAATTAAATTTTAAGACCTCCGACTGGTAAATGGACGGGATAACTGTCAAGGCCGTGTTGAAGTTCGGCGTAACTACGAAGAATGGGGAACAGTTTGTGATGATTTATGGAATCTAACCGATGCGACTGTAGTATGCAGACAGCTCGGATGTGGACAAGCTATTGCAGCTAAAGGTGACGCATATTTTGGACAAGGATATGGTCCTATTCTCCTGGATGATGTTCAGTGCCGAGGATATGAATCCTATCTGTGGGAATGTGAAACTTCAGGCTGGGGAAATCATAACTGCGGCCACGGTGAGGATGCTGGTGTTATTTGTTCAGGTACGTTCCCATCCTCTGAGACCAATACACATATTTTATATAATATTTTTTTTCATTGGTGGTTAATGTTGAGAGTTTATACATCTTAGTGTTGTAACTTAATATCCTCACTCATCTAATCAAAGTCCAGGATATGGTCAAACACAGAAGAAAATGATGGCTATAAAATTGTAAAGGGAAAGGATTCAGTAAGAAAAGATAGGCAAAATTAGATTAGATAGGCAAAATTCTGATTAGATTCAGAAATATAAATGTACAGCAACCTTTACCTAAAGAAAAATGTCATGCCAGCCTGGCATAAAGTTAACTTGTTGCACTATGTTGTGAAGATCCCGAGGGGGGGGGAGGGAAGAGCCAGGTTTTAAGAGTTCGTTTAAATACATTGGGGTCCATATGAGTCTCAGGAAGGACCTCATTTAAGAGGACAGGTGCTGTAACAGACCTCTGCTTTCTCGATCCCATGAAGTGATACCATCTAGATCAGGGTTAGTCAACCTTGGCTCTTTTATGACTCGTGGACTTCAACTCCCAGAATTCCTGAGCCAGCCACGCTGGCTCAGGAATTCTGGGAGCTGGTCCAAGAGTCATAAAAAAGCCAAGGTTGACTACCCCTGATCTACATGATGGAATCCAAAGCATGCTGACTCTGATTGCATAGAACGGAGCCACAGAATCCACAGGAGATAGGCATTTCCTCAGATTAAAAAGCCTCAAAGCCATTAAGGGTTTTACAAGTGATAACCAGAATTTTGAATCTACGCCAAAGCCTGCTGGTAACCAGTGCAGTTGTCAAAACACAAACGTGGGCAACTCAGGAAAATATACCTGAGTAATGGTTAAACAGAGGAAGCCACAAAGAGATCATGCTCTCTGCAGGGAATTTTAGGACAGGATGGATAAATATAAGCCAGGATTCTATCTAGAGAGAGCAGTAAAAGAACATGTGGCCCAGTGAATCTACTGAGTCATCACCACAAAGCTATGTGGTAGTACAGGGGAGTATTTTGATAATGCCTGGCAGAGCAGCAGATGTATAATTCCCTCAAATTAAACATTAACACCACCATCCCTGAAACAGTCACAGAATACCACCAGAAAATCTTGTATTCAAGCAGAATTAGCTACATAATGATGGCAGTGCAGGCAAATAGAGCCTTTTAATTACATTGAATAGTTATGGGGAAACATAGCCTCTTCACTTTTTTTTGCCCTCTTGAAGTGCTCTCTTGAAACCAAATAGTTGGCACAGAAATAAGTACAAGTGAGTAAATTTTGCAGCTGTAGCAGAACAAAGCAAACACTATTCTTCTGGTCATTGTATCCATTTTACAAGTGATGTGATAAGAAATGGACATGCATATCAATACAGTCATTGTGTGGCTAAACTACTAAATCTCTTTTTTTCTTTTTCAGGGAGTGCTTATCCAACATCAGGTAATGCTGAGACATTCGAAGTGTATTTCAATGTATGTTTTGATTATTTGAAGATCCACAGTTGAGTGGACAATTTGGAGATGAAGGAGGGGAGTGTTCCAGGAGTCACCTGACCAACATGATGCTATCCAAATAAGCCAGTATTCTCCAGTTCTTCATCTGGGCTCTTGTTTCATTTTAGAAAGATGTGATTTTCTCCTTGAAAATGAGAGTATATGTGACAATGTTGGACTATTCCTTTGCATCCAGAAAGCCTTTACACTCAGGGACAAATTTCTCACAATAAAATCTGGACCATCCAGTGTTATGGTAATTTGGGTATTTTCATGTACAGCAAAACGAGCAAAGCAAAATACTTTTTGTTTGCTTGATGAAATACAGTAAGTGCAAAATGTTTCATCTTTACTCTTCGTTTATTGACATACTTTGGATTGCTAACAATAGATAATTTTGAAATAACATCTGCAAAACAGGGTATGAGGATCCGACTATAAAATGTAAACTAATTTGGCAACTAGTCTTTGCTTTGTATGTGTTTCAGTTTTTGTTATTTAGTCATACAACACACATTTCTATTAAGTTGATTAAGTGCTGTCAAGTCAGTGATAACTCTTAACAACCACATAGATTTTCCCCATGATGATCTGTCCCTAATCTGGATTTTCAGGTCTTTGAACGGTGAACCCATCACCATTGTAATGGAGCCTATCCATCTCCTATCACAAATTTACCTTTATTGATTATGACCTATTCAGGGTTTTACTGTGGTAATAAAATACACTTTAGTGTACAACATACTATTATAAATTTAGTATGTTATATTATGGCAGAAAATGTTGCTATCTAAACACATTGATCCAAAATAGAGTGGATAATATATTATCGCATTCAAGTTCCAAGTCAAATCTAATGATTTCAGAGTGGATCGAAGATGCTTTAAAAAATTCCAAGCATGTTTTCCTGTGCAAGCTATTTTTGACTCTTCAAGCATTGCAGATCTCTATTTTTCATTATTTAACTACTACACTGTGAAAACAAGCAAAGAAACAAAAACTCCTATTTGGTGATTGCAGAGTATTTCATGACATAGTATATTTGTTACTATGATTGAATGTTCAGTAATGTCAACTTTCATTATCAAAATCTGAAAATCAATCTGCTTTTAACCTTATATATTATGCTATTGTGGTTACAGAATTAACTTCGTGCATTATCTATCACTCTAGCCTATCTCATACTTTATCTTTGTTCACTGGCAGGTCCTCACTGGACACCACCAGTATCACCAGCACCACTTGGTAAGAAAACTTTGGGGATTTATTTCATCTGTTAAATGTAATCCATTTGGAGTAGAAGAGCCTTTTCCTGTGTACTTGTGATCCCGTACTAGAGAACACAGTATTATTTACCGTTGAATTCTCAACAACTTTTAAAAAATACACAATTGCTTGGCTTCAAGATATATAGCTATTTCTAAATTTCCTTTTATATTGTTAAATACGTGATGAGAATGAGTACTATGCATTTAATGTCATATATCTGGGTGGTTCTATGAAAAAGAAAGAGACTTCACCCAGAGTTTTACCAATTTGTTGTTCATTTGTTCAGTCACTTTTGATACCATATGACCAAAGGGACACCATTACACTAGGACTGTTTTGTCAACAATTGCTTCTTTGAACTAGACTGTAATGTTTCTCTGTATCATATGTGTATGTGTGTGTGTGGGGGGGGGTATATGCATATCCTTTGAGAGCTGAATGTGATGAAATTTAATTTTAATGTATGCTGGTTAGCATACATTTAAAATGACAATAAAGTTCTATTCTATTCTATTCTATTCTATTCTATTCTATTCTATTCCATTGACTCCTTGTTTTGTTGTTAGCAATGGAATCTAAGCATCTTGCCATCTTTTTGCTTCTTTTCAATTGCTTTCTTTTCTTCCACTGTCCAGGTCTTTTGTAATGACTCTTGTCTTTGAAATAAATTAAGTTCTGGCTATTGAAATTTTAGCTTCAACATTAGTACTTCCAGTAAATAGTCTGATTTTATTTCATTTAATGTCAGATGGCTTGTTCTTATGGTCTAAGATATTCTCAACCTATTGTCCAACACCAGAATTCAAAGGAGTGATTTTAATATTTAAAGTGACTTTAATGGCAACATCTGATTTTTATTCTGTGTATGATTCCATTTCAATTGTATGCAGTCATTGTATGGAATCATATAGTCAAACTTGCAATTAAGACTTTGTCCAAAGCTGAGTCTCAGGGTCAGTGGAAAAAGAGAATATGATGGTCCTAAAGAATACAGGCTGGCAAATTTTTGAAGCCATGGTCCATGCTTGTTTTTAAGTTTAAGTTTAAGCATAAAATGAAATTGGTGATTATTTTGTCAAAAGTATCTCCATGTAGTTGAGTTTACAATATTTGCATTTATTTAGAATATTTGAGAAATGTCTTATGATGTAACAACAGATTTCTTTGTCCATGAAAGACCTCAAGCAAAAAAAAAACATTTCAATAAGAGTATGAGGGACAGCACAGCACATACAGGTAGTCCTCAACTTATGACCACCATTGAGCCCAAAATTTCTGTTGTAAAGTGAGACATTTGTTAAGTGAGTTTTGCTCCATTTGCAACTTTTCTTGCTTCAGTTGTTAAGTGAATCACTGAATTTGTTAAGTTAGTAGCCCGGTTGTTACGTGAATCTGATTTCCCCATTGACTTTGCTTGTCCAAAGGTGCAAAAGATGATCACAGTAACGGTCATAAATGTGAACCAGTTTTCAAACATCTGAATTTTGATCGCATGATCATGGGTATGGTGGGAAGGTTGTAACTGTGAAAAACGGTCACTTTTTCAGTGCTGTTGTAACTTTGAATGGTCACTAAATGAACTGTTGTAAGTTGAGGACTACCTGTACTACAAACTGGTTTTATCATTGTTTGGAGGACTTTCAAGGTTGTATATTTGAATAATTCATATACAGTGAAAATGCCCCATGTTCCATTCTTTCTAATCATGGTCTTACTCACTTAGGGTTTGTTTGTTTGTTTGTTTTTTGCTACTCTAGGATAGTGATAGCAGGCAGACATCCAAAAATTTACTCCCTATAAAGATAGAAATTTTCTCACATCTTTATATCTTGATTACTGTTGTTAACCCTGTTTCCTACTGAAAAGTACAATTGTAAAAAAAAAATTCCTCCAATGTCTGTGACTGTTTATGACTGAACAATATTATTTCTTTTTTCCTCTAGAGCTCCGATTAGTAAATGGAAGTCATAACTGTCAAGGGCGTGTTGAAATTAGGGATTATTATCAAGGTTGGGGGACTGTTTGTGATGATTTATGGGACCTGAATGATGCCAGTGTGGTATGCCGACAGCTTGGATGTGGATATGCCATCCAAGCAACACAAGGACCACGGTTTGGTCAAGGACATGGCCCTATTTACCTGGATAATGTTCAGTGCAGCGGGAATGAAAGCTATCTTTGGAAATGCGCAAGTGCAGGCTGGGGAAATCATAACTGCAATCACAATGAGGATGCTGGTGTTATTTGTTCAGGTACTTACTTGCTTTGTTATTGAAATAGAAATATTTTTATAACAATTTTATATTTACATATTTTAAATAGTTTGGCATGAGAGTTCTCATGCATCTGGTTTAAGAACATATAATTTAATAGCTAATGCAATATTCTAATTCAGCTACCTACAAACAATGAAGAAAGGATTTGATATGCAGCTGAAGGGTCCTGGAGAAAACAACTCATCAAAGAACCAAAAAGTTTTAATGTATCTTCAGGAATGATAGTTGCCAAAAGCAGAATCTCAAAGCAAGGCTGTCAGAGTACATATGGATCTCGAACAGGGAAGAACCAAAGATTCAGATTCTAGTTCTTAGTTTATGTTAGAAATTCTGTTTACATATGGCACCACAGATCAGACAAATAGTACAATCACCATGTGCTTTACTGCTTAACTTTTTAAAGTGTAACAGGAAACAGGAACCTCTACCTAGAATAAAAACACATAGAGTATATACCTGGGGTAGGCAATCTTGGCTCTTTGCTGGCTCAGGAATTCTGGGAGTTGAAGTCCATGAGTCATAAAAGAGCCAAGGTTGCCTACCCCTGGTATATACCATACATCCAAACTTGTAAACATTGGCATCTACTGGCTGAACACTATTATAGTTGTTGCACAAAAATACATCCCAACAATGAATTCCAATAGTTTATCATAGAGTTCAGTGACTAGCCAGTGCCCCTTAGCATTCTACTTCACACAGCTATAATGGTTATAGTTTTGTAGGAAAACTCATGTAAGATGCATTAAGCTGCTGGACAGCATATTCTTTTGCTAGAGTCGTAAGTGTCATGATTAAAACTAAAGTGACATAATTTTCTTGTATAAGCCCCCTTAAACACTTTGTGCAAGAAAACAGTCCTCTCAATTTCATAGTTTATGTGTCAGTTTAATGCCCAATTGAAAAGTTGGGACAATGTTTACCTAACTTTCTGGAAAAGAATAATTCCTGAACATCTTTTGTTAGGTAAGGATGCAAAGGTTAGATATATAATCTCCCTGCTTTCTCTTTCCAAATAATCACTAACAGCAGGCAACTTGGTTTTCTTTTTTTTAAAACTGGCTTAATAGCATACTGCCATGATTGCACAATTATTGTGCCGCAGGCAAATATCCAAGATAAGCCAGGAAGTCAAAACTGAACCAAGAAATCTAAGAAACAACCTAGCAAATCATATGGAACAAGTAGAAATCAAAGTGAAAGACAGATGTCATGTCACAGAAATGATCAAAAGAATAGTTGGGCCCAAGAACCATTTCTAAAGCTGGAACTAAGTGAGCCGAACAGAGAAAGCCAAGTTACACACCCTTCTATCAGGAAGTCTTTCTGGATCCAGCAAGCCAAATAAATAAGAGACTTTTTATCATTCTTCTGATCAAAGCAAACTCACCAGTCAGCCTGAATGGGTGGGGCCAAGTAAGAGGTTAAGGCACTTCAGGGTCATTCCCATAATTCAAATACCAGTACTCAACATGACAAGTAGTTTCCCATAAGTTGATTCTAGTTCCAGAAGCTTTTCACTCCCTAATTCTGTTAGATCTAATCTAACAGGTGTACTGTACAGGTAGTCTTCAACGTACAAAATTCATTTAGTGACAGTTCAAAGTTATAGCAGCACTGAAAAAAGTAACTTATGATCATTTTTTTACACTTATGACCCCTGCAAAATCCCCATGATCACGTGATCAAAATTCAGACATTTGGCAACTGACTCATATTTGTGACGGTTGCAGGGCCATGTGATTACCTTCTGCAAACTTCTGACAAGCAAAGACAATGGGGAAGTCAGATTCACTTAAGAACTGCAGTGATCCACTTAACACCCATGGCTCGAAAAGCCATACAATGTCTCACTTAGCAACAGAAATGTTGGGCTCAATTGTAGTCATAAGTCAAGGATTACCTGTATATGGACATCCTTAGCCAAACAGTTCATTCAACTCAGCAGACTTGGTCCTCTATAGATGCAGAGCCACCAAGCCATTTCCTTTGGGATAAATAGTGTTACACAGAGTACAGAAAAGAATAAGAAATTATAAGCTAAAGAAATAGAAACCCTGAAATACATTGCTTAAGCTTTTTTACACCATTCACTGTACATTTTCCCAATTTTCTTTTTTTGCTTCTCCACATCCCTACAACATTTCGTAAATTCCTTAAAGATTTTGGAAGTTCTAATCTCTTTGTTTTGGGAATCTTTTCAAAAGATATGCATCTATTCATTCTTAGTCCTATTTCTGCTTGTTCGATCACATGCACTTTCTAAGTACCCCATTGACATTGTATTCAATTTACTTTTATATTTCTCCTGACATACCCAATTTTCATTTCCATACAGCAAAGTGGACAAATGCACACTATTATACATAGCTGTTTTTACTTTTTTCCCCAACAAATGTTCTTTATTTACAACAAAACATGAAGCACACACTATCATTCAATTGTTACTTGTACATGTCAAAACTTCTCCATCCACTTCCTCACTTTTAGGAAATGTTCTACCAAACTATACACATTTGTCTACTTGCTCCAATGTTGTCAAATAAAAGTTTTTACATTTATGTTAAACTTCCAACTATTTATTCAATTTTCCGTAGGGAGAGGGGAACTTCTTAAACAATCATCCTTAATGTCTTCATGCTGAACTATTCACCAAATGTTTCATTCATTCTCATGCATGTTTATTTCTATCAGAGCCACTATTACATTCATTAAAGAAAACCCTCAATTCTGCATTTATGGAAACATTCCATAGTTTGAATTTTACTCACATTACACCATGATTTCTTTGACTTAGCAAAGATACATTTAAATATTTTTCTCTCATTTATTGTGGTGATGTCACTGTCTAGAGTAGAGGGGAGAGTAAAGAAGAGCCTATCATGGGAGCAAGTGACAGGGGCCAGAATTTTGAAGTCTTTATCTGCCTGTTTCCAAGAGTATGGAATTAGTCTGGCAAGATCTTTTAAGTAGATAATCAACAATAAATTTTATTTTATTTTTTTAAAAAAAAAACACTTTGGCCTACTTCACAGAGTTGTTCTGGTTTTTTGCCCCTGACATTTATGCATTTCTTATTGACATGCTGAAGATCAAACATTGGCTTTGTCCAACCTATGCCCATATTGCATTTCCCGATTTTGTGGTAACAAGACCTGGTGGATCCCACGTTCAGAATTTGTCAACCCATTTGTATCCTTGAGCCAGGAAATCTAAGAAACAACCAAGTGAATCGTGCATGTCATGGAACAAGCAGAAATCAAAGATAGGTAACAAAGGAAGAGTTTTGTTTCAGCAAAAACAATCAAATCCTTTCTGATTTATATTCATTTCTATATTGCATTCTGTACACATGAACAGACATCAGCTTAAACAGCATATTCAGAATAAACAGATTTTCCTTGGCAGATATTCTTTAAACAGACACCCTCTCATTCATTCTTGGGTTTCTACCGTCTTGTTTTTCAGAAATGTCATTAAAACAGGGTTATTCTTGCAGATCCTAGGAGCAGAATGTTGTAATATTGTCGCACGGATACTAACATTCTCTAATTTAATTTATTAATGTTTCTAGTGCTAAATATTTTAAATAATGATGCTGGTATTTTTTTAACTTGACTTTCAAAGTTTAGATGTAGACCACTGACAATCATTTATAATGCACATATATTTATTTGTTACAGGCCAGCAACTTTTGTAAGCATAGCAGCAAAATCCAGTACTTTTTTTTCAAAATATATTGCTTTTTATTTTGCTACTTTGCAGCAATTCATGTCCTTGGCACATATTAAAACAGTCATAAACTTTTATCTTTCAGGGAGAATCACTACAATGCCAGATAATGAAGACCCACTTAAAATATACTTTCATAACTAGTGTAAATTGGCAACATGGCAATGGGGGAGGGAAATTCACTTCCACTTTCCTATGGCATGTTGATCAACATAATCTGCTATTCACTAGTTTGGTTTACTTTATTGTTTACTGTTTAATGAGTTATCAAGCAAAATAAAATAAAATAATATAACAAGACTTACAAATCTTGCAGATCCGCATGGTCATGGAATCACTAACTTTTCCTAGTTTAATTTATTAATACTTCTAGCACAAAATATTTAAAAAATTATTATACTGGTATTCTTTTAACTTGACTTTCAAGGTTTAGACGCAAACCACAGACAGTCAATTACAATATACATAGGTTTATTTGTTACAGGCTAGCAACTTTTGTAAGCATAGCAGCAAAGTCAAGTACTTTTTTTTTTTAATTGTTACTTTTTCTTTTGCAAGCAAAGCCATAGACATACCAAATGAGTCCTAGGAATAGATGTCACAATATATTATTTCAACAGCAGTTCATTTCCTTGGTTCATATTAAATCAGTCATAAACTTTTCTCTTTCAGGGAGATTCACTACAACGCAAAGACCAGGTAACGAAGATCCACTTAAAATGTATTTTCATGAACAGCATAAATTGGCAATCGGGCAATGCCACTTTCCTATGGCATGTTGATTAACATAATCTGCTATTCAATATCCTAGTTTAGTTTATTGTTTACCGTTTACTCTAATGATGTATCAAGCAAAGTATGATAAAATAATACAAGCATATTAAAAAATATTCAATGAAATAATCAACTCTTGACAGTTGATCCCAATCTAATCTAGATAGGAAGCTCTCAGTTGAATGGCTTTAGCTATTAACTTGGCAGACTTTCTTACTTACGTGTGTTTCTACCTTGGAGGAAGTAAGCAAGGCTGTTGATGGGGTCCCAACGGGCTATCCTGTTAATTATCCATTGTGCTCTGCCTGAAGCATTTGGTTAGCAGTCAAAAAGGATATGACTGATGTCCTCTATTTGTGGTGCACCACAGATACAGATCTTCTCTGGATAAGATACTTGATAAAATTGCCCATAGTTTACCACAGTATCTGGGAACTCCATAACAAGTCCTCCCTACCTTTGGGACTACAGGTAGTTCTCAACTTACAACAGTTCATTTAGTGGCCATTCAAAGTTACAACAGCATTGATTTATTACCTTTTTCCATATTTACAACTCTTGCAACATCTCATGTGATCAAAATTCAGATGTTGGCAACTGACACATATTTATGATGGTTGCGGAGACTCAGGGTCATGGGATCACAAACCAAGTCATTGGGGAAGCTAGATTCACTTAACGATCATGTTACTAACCTCAATTCACTTGACAACTGTGTCAAGGAAGGTCTTAAAATGAGGCAAAATTCACTTAACAAATGTCTCATTTATCAACAGAAATTTTGAGCTTAATTGTGGTCATAAGTCAAGGACTACCCGTGTAATCCTTAATCCCCAGTGCAAATGAATCTGCCAATAGAATGACATCTATAGATTATAAGCAGGAAAAAGTCTAGGATACAATTTTTTGGAAAGGACTTCAAAGCCCCATAGCCAGTCCTATAGCTTAACTCTAATCCTTCTCTATTACTCCAATACTCCAGTATTAAGTATTCTCTGATGCTCTATGTATGTCCAATATTTTCAACTAATTCAAAAATTTAAGAAGATTGTTGGGCTATAACTCTATCGTATAAATTATTGTCTTCTTGTGCAGAGGGACTACTAGACTTCTTGTAAGGCTAATTAGGGAAAACCAAAGCAATGAACACAAAAAATCAGAGTGATGCTATTGAAAAGATTATTATGCTTTCTGTAATTATACCCATTTATGACCATTTCCCTCCAAAAATGTTTAGTATCATAGAATGCCATAAATACATGAGATTTATGTATAAGTCGTGTTCTTGGTTGAGGAAGAAAGAATTACAATCCATCTTTTTAAAGATATTTAACTTGACATTTTTAATAACGCACTTGAATTACAAAATCCACTCTGTATCCACTCTCTGGACAATTAATCCCTTTGTCCACTTATTCAATGGATTTCCTCATAGCTAATTTATTTTTGCTTTCTTTACCTCATACTCATAAGCCCCAACCTTATTGATAGCATTTGTCACCTTTTTTTAAGGAAGAGGCATTTTGATACAACAGTTCTTTCTGTACTAATAGGCTCTAATCCTTTTGACTGAAGTGTAGGAAATGACAGGATTGACAGTTTTCACTAATGCAAAAGAAATAAGTTGAAGACAAATGTACTTCCTACTTGTCAAAGCTTGGTTATTTATATTTAGCACTCTCCAAGCAAATGGAGAAAATGTAGCAATTATGTCTGCTTCTGTATGTCCTTCTTTAGCATGTGTTTTTGTAAAAGAAAGGGTTCACTGCTACCTGAAAAAGGACTTGTAGCATGACAAGCACCTTTATGATATTTTAGGTCCTAAAAGAGATTATTTGGAAAGAATACTTCACTCTTGATTTCTGGCTATAATAGTGCTGAAATCTGCCTTCCAGTCGCCTGGAAATTTCCTTCCCTTCAAAGAGAGGATCTATTTCAGATCTGAGCATTCTTCTGATAATTGGGGGCTTTGCTTAATTTTGATGGTGAATGGAAAGAAAGCTGACATTCCAAAAAGAGCAGGGTAACATCACACATGTGAGTAGGGCAGGAACTTGCAGGGATTTATAAAGGCTTGCTTTTGTCTTGAAGCCTGGCAATCCTATTTTAGGATTTTCTCTACAGCTTTCATCCACCTCAGAATGGTAGACCACAGTACCCCAGTGTTTAGCTATTATGTTCAAAGGGGTTATTTGAGGGGGGGGTATTTTGGGGTTATTTTTTGCCAAGTGATAGAGAGTGCTGTTGTTGCTTTTTACAAATTGCATTGTTCTCAATATATACAAGATTGTAAGAGCATTGCAAAGATGGAAGAGTGGTTAGACAAAAGCAGATGTGAAACTGCATAATCTTGCCTCTTTACAGCCAGAAAATAGAGGCAGGGTCACATGATTTCTCATTTAGTGTCTGCTTTGCTTACCAGTGGAATTGCTGGTCTTGGTTGTGTTGTTAAGTGAGGATTACCTATCCAGATTTCTCCAAATTGGGGCCCTCAGACACACTGAATGTTTTAGTCTAGCTCAGGGGTAGGCAACCTTGGCTCTTTTATGACTCATGGACTTCAACTCCCAGAATTCCTGAGCCAGCAACTCCCAGTTCTGGGAGTTGAAGTCCATGAGTCATAAAAGAGCCAAGGTTGTCTACCCCTGGTCTAGCTCCTTATTTATTATAGCTATGCAAAACCATTTGCAAAGCTTTCTTTGACAAGTAATTAAAAGTTCCCCCTGAATATATTCCTTAAGATAGTAAAGCACTAAATTTTGCAGAAGACTCAGAAGAACCCCTCTGAAGGCCTTCAAGGGATGTATGACAATGACTGTGAATGCACAGGTGATACTTCTACAAGAATTGTTGCTACAATGGGGTTGCTCCCAGCACTGCAGCTTTTCATAAGTGGAAATCTTGTCAAAGGTGGACACCCATGTAGTCAGTTAATGTGGGGAGAACCATAATGTGAGTTCACTGAGCATTTCACAATATGTGATTCGGTGCTTCTGGCAGTGGGACTTGAGGGAAGCTTTGATTCATGAAGTGCTCCTCAAACAGTTCAAAGCGCTTTCAAAAAAATTTCCCCTTTAGGTCTATTTTATTCCTATTGGCTCTTAAGAGTGTTATGGATTATATGTAGCTTTTGAGGATGATGAAATATGTAACTGTTAATCTTTAAGAACCCAGCATAGGGACATTTTAGTAAAATTACACTGACAGAGAATGCCTCAAACATATACTGTCAGGTACCCAGTCCTTGTTGTGACCAAGAGTAACAAATAATGTCTAATTTCTTGAATTATTTTTATCACAATCCCACAATCTATTTAATACTTAGAATTAATAATAAATAAATACTTGATATTTGTAAACATTATTATCAATCAGTACGACTGTTAAACATGAATGTTAATGAAGATTCAACCATTACTGTTTTTTAAGCTTGTAATTGAGAGTAAGACAAGGAAGAACATGTTTAGGTTTAATTCATAAGCTATAGAACCTGTAGGTTCTGAAGCTATCCAACTCTAGGTGTGTTCCATTGTTCATTCTAGGCAATGTTTTGTTCTCCCACCTTCTCTCATTAATTGGCTCATAATTTAGGGGTCAAAAGGGGCTTTCTCCACTTCACCTGGTGCAGAAGATATGACCTTTCCTACATCAGAAGGCACTTTTCAGAATCATTTATACCTTCTTCTTCACCTGTTTTAGGAGTATTACTGATTACTACTGTATTAGCATTAATTTGATTATGTATCATTATTATTATTGTGACAGATATTTATTTTATGCTTTTATTACTAAATTGACATTTCCGCTGTTTGAATCCTGTTTATGTATAGTAAGACTGTAAACTGCTCAGAACAGCATATAAACTTTTTGAAATAAATCAATGTGGAATGCTGTCTTTGAGGAAGTGTACTTAGTATACACAGATATTTTTAGCTGTTTCCTGGAATTAATAAGCACTCCTTTGACCAAAGTACTCAAAGTAAATGTACTTTGAGATGTTCACTGTCTTGCAGTCTTCCCAATCTTATTTTAGATATAAAATTGAAGAAAGTTCCCAAACCATGAATAAATTCTATATTTAGGCCTTAAATCACAGGTGTCAAACTCGCCGCATCACGTGACATGTCACGACATATCACAACTTGTTTTGCATTGCCGGAATTGGGGTGGGTGCAGCTTCCATATGATGCAACTGGCCCGTAGGCCAGCAGTTTGACACCCCCGCTCTAAATCCTTTGTACTATTACCTCATGAAACTATGATTTGACTGACTTTAATTACACATTTTGCTGTTATTGGGTATACAGGTAGTCCTTGATTTATGAGCATAATTGAGCCCAAAATTTCTGTTGCTAAGCGAGACAGATATTAAGTACGTTTTGCCCCATTTTACGACCTTTCTTGCCACAGTTGGTAAGTGAATCACTGCAATTGGTAAATTAGTAACATGATTGTTAAGTGAATCTGGCTTTCCCATTGACTTCGCTTATCAGAAGGATGCAAAAGATGATTACATGACCCCGGGACACTGCAACCATCATAAATATGAGTCAGTTGCCAACAGTCTGGATTTTGATCATATGATCACGGGAATGTTGCAATGGCCATGTGAAAAACATTCATAAGTTAATTTTTTCAGTGCTGTTGTAACTTTGAATGGTCGCTAAATAACTGTTGTAAGACAAGGACTAACTGAATTTGTATTCCTTTTTTATTTTTTATAACCTAACTTATAAAATAAATTGTAAACAGATTTCTCATATATAACAATTCAGTCCCATATATAAACCACACTAAGTTCAGTGGGGCTTATTTTCAGAATCACAGTCCATGTGATCTTATACACATTGAGTGACCTGTTTTATATAGGATTAGTATTTTTTCTTTTTTCTTCCCAGTTGATTTATAGCAAAAATGACACAGTAGACAAAAATAAATTACCTCTAATTACATTATAATTGTTTTTATTATTTCAACTTGATTTAGAGAATCACCTTCTGCATGTGGTTAGATATTTAAAAAGCTTCACAGTGTTAGTTTAGGAAGAAAAATAGCACTGGTAAAGCAGATATTGACTTCCAATGCAGTAGTGATTAACTTCCAATGCCAAGTAATTCAGTTCCTTTTATAGAAGTTCTTAGCTTTAAGTCTTATGTTAAGAAAAATAAATAAATGAGGAAAAGTTAGACTTCCATTTCTCTTTTTAATAAGTAGAAACTGATTTTGGATCATAAATATATGCTCCTTTTTTCTTAGCAGATGAATAGGAATAACAAGACCCACATAACTGTTAGTTTCTAATAAGAACTAAGAATTAATAAGTACTGTTTAGAAAGCATTACTAACGAAATTATCCTTAATCCAAAGAATTTATAGAGTAGGATTTCAGTTCTATCTCACCTAACCTAACAATTAATTCATCATTATTAGTTTGTCTAATTTATATACCTCCACATCTCACAAAGCAAGTAACTCTTAAGATTTTCATGTTCCAGATTAAAAGTTAGACATTATAGTTCCTTCAGAACATAAAGCTGGAAGGCCTCAAAGCATTTGGATTTGGGTTCAAGAAAAGCTCAATGATAAATGTCTTTTTACAATGTGGTTCTCTGCATCCTAATCCTGCATGATACTAATTGGCCTGTGTTTTTTTCTTTGATTTCTTTTTAGTAACAATGTCAAGACATTCTTGTGGTGGTTTTCTTGGATACCCATCCGGATCGTTTAAAAGTCCATATTATCCTTATAATTATCCAAACAGTGTGGACTGTCTATGGGAAATACAAGTTAAAAACAACTACCAAATAAGACTTACCTTGCAAAATTTTCTGTAAGTAAAGCTGTTTTTAATGCATGCATCTTGATACCGAGATTGATTTATTAAATAAATCAAGATGAGTTCAAATTTCAGGGCACATTTTACAAAATGCAATTAGATTGTAAACTTGAGAGAATGGATTTGGCTAGAGATAATTAGTTAAGCCATGGTAGAACTTTACCTTTTTTTATGGATAGAGAAATAGGTCCCGTTCCACACATGAAGAGGAATTCATCCAAAGTTTGATGCAATGTTTGAAATGTTTAAACAGACCAAACAATTTTTGTTTTAGTTTGTTAAAATAATCAATTAATATATGAGAATCATTTCAATAGTTCATATTTACTGGGCTATAAATCAAAACCAGCTGATAAAAAATATTGAAAATGGATGTGGTAAGACAGTGTTTCCCAAACTTGACAATTTTAAGGCATGAGGACTTCAACTTCCAGAATTCCACAGCCAGCAACGCTGGCTGTGGAATTCTGGGAGTTGAAGTCCACATGCCTTAAAATTGTCAAGTTTGGGAAACACTGTGGTAAGAGAACAGGAAAGGAAGGCTTAAATCAACATCCAGTCTTGGATTTCTCAAGCCTAAAAGGTCCTGAAAAAATGGCAGGGGGAACTTCATGAAATAGTTAATATGACTTTCTGGAAGAGGGGAGAATTTCTGGAATTTTATACATTCCAATAAAAAGTCTCTATATTCAAATTTTGTACCAAGCACGTTAACATTTTTATCCAAATTATTGTTTGTTATAAATTGTCATCGTTATCACTGCCAGCATCTTCATCATAATTAATTGATTAATTAATGAATGATTACTTCACCAGCTGAAGAGAATTGAAAATGGCTAACTTAGATGAATTGGAAAATTCTAAGTTTGATTATGATTTTTGTTTCATCTCCTTTTACTAGGACTAATTTCTGAGATAATTTTATTACCTAACATACAAAAAATAAAGCTCCATCTTGGAGTATTAGAGTACGGTAAATGTATGAATTACAAACTGAACAATATCCATGTAAAGACTATATTCCTGTTTTGCTTTCCAGGCTAGAAGAATGTAATAGATGCAATTGTGATTATGTTGAAATCTATGATGGGTCTCTCCATACTGGTTCACTGCTTGGGAGAATTTGTTATGGCTCCTATCACACTTTTACATCAAGTTCCAATATGATGACGATTAAATTCCATACTGATAGCAGTGTCACAAGAAGAGGCTTCCTTGCAAACTATTACAGCATCTCTGCAAATCAAAACACAAGTATAAAATTGCCATTAATTTTTGATTTACTGACCTTTTGAATATTATGTTAGTTTAGAATTTCATGAGAATTCTTAACATCTTATTCAGTCTTGGCAAAATGAGACACAATTTATTTAGTTTTTAATTCTTCATTTTGGTGTACCCTGATGGAAGGTTTGTAAGGTAGAATATTTTTGATCCAGATACCTACAGTGTAAGCATGGGCAATGACACCTACAGATTGGATAGTTGAACAAAATGTGAACATCCCTGGAATAAAGAACTGTGTAGTTCCAGACAACTACAATTTATATTCTAGAGCAGAAATGTCAAACTTGTGTCACATGATGTTATGGAACATATCAGGACAGTTTTGCCATTGCTGGAAATGGGGTGGGCATGGCTTCCATGTGACGCGTCCAGCCCATGGGCCGGCAGTTTGACACCCCTGTTCTAGAGTGAATAATATGTGATTTTTGTGTGATCTACCATCTAACTTCAAGCCAAATTTCAGAAGTTGATCCTTAGCACAGATTTTCAGTTTTTTTTACTGTACTACGATCATAATGTAATGAAAAAATATTGCAATTCAAATTAATCAAATTATCGATTATCTTGAGATTTCAGTGTATGTGCTTCAAAGAATAAGCATTTTGGACATATAACTATCCTTCACTTTTTGAGACACTTTTAAGAATGGAGTTAGATATAAAAGAAGTCAAGCAAAAGTTCAGTATCCAGATGTAGACATGGGTGATGTATGGTAGTCAAGATCCAGAGATTATTTTTTTCATGGTTTCCTGGAAAGCATCTTTCCAGCATACTTTCAGTTTAAAGCAAAAGTTATTAAGTTGCATATTAATATTTATTAATGTTAAGAATATGTAAAATAATTCAGCAGGCAAAATTTTATTTTGTGCTCCGATGGTGTTAGATTCATACTGTAAGGATGATAATAAATTATTGTCATACTGTATATACCTCAGGGCAGGAATAAGATTTCTTTTTTCTCCTTGTCAGCTCTTGTTTGTCTGCCAACCTACATGGAAGCTGTAATTAGTAGAAGTTATCTGAACTCTCAAGGCTATAATCCATGGAGTGTCAGCTTGATGGATCCAAACTGCAGACCAAAGATAACACCATATTATGTTATTTTCAACATACCATACAATGGATGTCGGACCAGAAGAGATGTATGGAGACTTATTAGTGCATGGCTCACTCATTCATTAATTCTTTCATTTTTCCTTGAAGCAGAAGTAGCGAGCATTCAATCATTCAAGGATTTATTTAGGACAATGCTCCAAATTGAAATGTGTTTGTGGCAAATAACAGGAGCTCAAAGCACAGTGACTGATAGGACCCATTTTCTAATCTGTAGCCAATCATTTCTCTATTTTCTTAGGTTTCTTTCTAAAGCTATACCCTCAGTGTAGATTAATTTTTCATGGAGGTTTTGAATATGGGAATGCCTATATTCTGACTGACATCTATTGACACAAATCAATATTTTTATAGCATTTCTAACATGATTGGTCCAGATAAAAAGGATCTTATATTAATTGTTTCATCTTTCAAACAGGTTGATGCTGATACTATTACATATTCAAATGAGATCTCTGTAATAGCACCTGCACAAAACTTCATAAGAAGAATACCAGATCTTCTTGTGCATGTCAACTGCAAGATGCTTCATCACACTTGGATAGAGACAGTATACATCGCTCAGCAAACAAAAGAGATTAATGAAACACAATATGGCCTATATAGTGTGAACCTTACATTTTATGACTCATCCTTCTGGAAACCAGTGAATGATGTACCTTATTATGTCGTATTAAATCAAAGGTTATATTTGCAAACTTATCTCTATAGTTCCGATTCCAACCTGCAGCTGTTTTTGGATACTTGTACAGCATCACCCTATTACAATGATTTTACAAATCTAACTTATGACATTATCAAGAATGGGTAAGTACTTCATCCTCTTGCAGGCTATTTGGTTTTGTGGGGAAATTAATTTTGATTGCTTTTAGTTTTCCAAACATTTATGTAGCATAGTTATTTGATAGTTAAAATATGGCCAATCCCTCTAGGTAGATCACTCCAGAAACAATATTCACAATCCCATTTCAGTTGTGTTTTCATGTCAACATGTTATGTCTCTCTCAATACATAACACTATGCCCAGCCAAAAGTTCTAGAAAAGTTGCACTATTATACTGGACCATATCTTACAGGAAACCTATTGTAATACATTTGGAATCTCAGGATCATTGTCACTGTAGAAATTTTCTCTCACCCCGTATAGAATAGTGGTTCATTCCTAATTTGTATCAAATTTTCTGCAGAGGATTCACATTTGCTATGGGTTTGAATGTGGTAATCCACAAAAGTGTTGATTACATCATTCCCATCTACCCGCTTACTTCCTTCATGATACAAATCGCTTAATCTCCTACATTCTATCTCTATTCTGCTACCGTTATATATACAAAGGCAAAGGTTTAAAGCTGAAATAACCAGAGACCCTTTCATTGGGACTGTCCATGCTAATTATACCCTGAGTTGCAGTACTCTGGAAAGTTCTGGCCTTTGGATAAAGAGACCCAGATAGCATACATTCTCATTTGTTCACTTCTCTGTCTGTCTGTCTGTCTGTCTCTCTCTCTCTCTCTCTCTCTTTCTTTCTTTCATTCCCTCTCTGATTTTGATTTCCTTTTGCCTTATGTAACCAGTAGCTACATTTAAACCAGGAATACGCAACCCAAGACCCTCAAAATAATAGATGACTCTTGAATTTTATATTTTTTCCCCATAGACCATTCCAGATTGTTATTAGACTGTCATTTTTAATGCCACAGAAGGAAAATTCTTAAATAAGTGATTTATTTACATCAAACATGTGTGTCAGTTAAATCAAATCAAATGTAACTCTGGCTTTCCTCACCCACTACATCTTGGAGTGCAGTCTGTAGCATGTAGCCAAAGGGCCATCTGTGGATTTTGACCTTGAAGAATTTAATTAAGGCAATATATTTATTTCCTTGAGATTAAAATCAAAAGAGATTCCAATGACATGGGTTGCATGTGAAAGTTTTATTCATTGCTCTGAAACCAAGCTCCTGCAGTGTTCCTTGTTCCTGGTAAATAATTCTGAATCAGAATATATGTGTATTGACAAATCATTTGGCAAGTAGTTTGGATAGTCTTTTTCATCAAAAGTTAAGGTTTACCTCTTCTGACCTGGCATTATGTCTATTTTGAATTGACATTATAAAGATTAAGTTGATATGCATCTTTTATTTTTCTTGAGAAAACAAAGCTTTAAAATTGAAAGAACAGTAAAAAAAGCATATGATGAACATTACCCAGAAGCAGTGACACTTAATCAGAGCTTTCATTTATGCCTTCAGCTTGGCAAACCAGAATATAATTTTTACATGCAACCTAACCATAGTTATGGTATTCTTGTGGTCCAATGAGACCAAAGATCCTAAATCAAAAAGAGTAAATTTGAACTATGCATGGGTAGAGCTTGATTCTTGGTCAATCTATTGACCTATCCATGTAATTTTCTCTGAACAATACCAACAGGCCAAATCCTGCTTAGCTTTCTGTCAAGCTTGGCTAGCTTTTCCACTTAGCTTAGCAAATGGGATAAAAAGCAGCCTAAGAAGATGAATAAAATATGTGAAACCACAAGATTAGAACATATTCAGCGGGACTGTAATTTAAATTTTGTGCATAGCAATAATTAATAAATGAAAACTATAGGTCCCTTTGTATATTTATCAGATAAATTGAAGTTTCCAGACAGGGTCATCTGATATTTATACTACATTATCTTGTAGTATAAATAAAAACTTCACACTAAATAAGTTTTTCTACTTATTTTTTTTTAACTGGAACGTTCCTTTACTTCTTTCTTTAACAAAGTATAAATAGATATCTTGAAGAAGATATAAACAGATATCAAAAGAAGGCTTTCAATGTCTCAGTTATTCAAAGCTGATTTTCTTCCCCATGAAAAATGTTAATTTACTTGATTTTCCATGAATGTTTGTACTACTTGCTAATGTAATTAAAGATAGCAGTCATTAGAACATATTGTAACTAATGATTCCCATACGTTGATTTAGGTAGTTTGATGATAGTCATCTTTTTCTGGCCTGAAAGAATACAAATTCATTTAATTAGATGACATTTGCAGCGGTGGTTTTATTGTTTTTCATGTTGCCAAAGCATGTTCAGCATTTTTGAATATTAACAATTCCATTGTGAGAAATCAGAAATATTATCTGAAATATAGGAGGTGTTTATTGGAACTAATGGCATCTAGGAAAGGGGGAGGAGATGTCAAAAGAGGCAAGACAATAGTGAAGATCCCTTTGTAGTGCATCAAAGCCACAATAACACTCTTGCTTGTTTAGACTTCCCTTCCCATAGATACCAATGTTGGAACTCAAATAAAGTGCTATATTTCATATTCAGATGTTTTTAAGATTTTTCTCAGAGAAAGTTCATTAGTTGGGCATGGACATAAATGAATTCAACCAGATGTATCTTTTGTTTCAGTATTATACAGGATGCTGTTTTTGTTTTACTTCCATACACAGAACATTCATTGCATCTGGATTATTTTAATGTGAACACTATGCAAAATAAATTTTGTAAATTAGAATATAATAAATGCAAGTACTGGCATATTAATTAATACCAATAAATCTTCCTTTATTTTGTTTCTCTGCAGGTGTGTTAAAGAATCTACTTATCAGACTCACTACTCCCCATACAGAAACATTCTTCGCTTTTCTTTCCAAGCCTTTGCCTTCATGGGCAGACATCCAGCAGTTTACCTGCAGTGTAAAGTGGTGGTTTGCAGATCCTATGACTATAACTCAAGATGTAATCGAGGCTGTCTGCTCAGATCCAAGAGAGATACAGGCTCCTATCAGGAGAATCTAGATGTCATTATTGGCCCCATCGAAGTTCTGAAGACTGGTGCTCAGAACAGAAACTTTGGTAAACTGAAGCAAAATTTCTTTAATGGTTCTAAAAATAATCAGTGCCGCTCAGTTCTTTCAAGATGATAGTGCAAGTAGCATGAAAAATTGGGAGAATTGCTGGATAGCAAGATATAATTTGAAATTACTGTTATAACCACAGTCCTGATTCACGCTGCCTGTTCTGCAGTATTCCTTATTCCTGATAATGTTCAGTCAGGTTATATGCATATTGGCTTATGATTAATTGATCACTAGGATATTTTTCGATCACAGTTCAAGTAGATGAGGTACCATCATTTTCTTCTGGTTTTTTTTGCAGAAGCAAAGCAGGAAGCCCAGGAAAATTTGGCAACTCCTGATTCCCATGTACCTTACATTGTTGCTGCTGCCGTCCTTGCACTTGTTGTCATGACTCTTGCAGGAATTATTCTGAAAAACAAGTGGAAAAGATCAATTCCATATGAAATAATGTGAGGGCTTAAAATCTTGTGTTATAAACCAATGCTTGAGTTAATTGTGATGGACTTAATCACAATTGGATGGATTGTGTCCTCAACAGTAATAGTGATATTTCTCCAATATATTAACATTTTTTTTGTGATTTATGTTGATTTTGCTTTTACATTAAAGTTAAAAACTAGGAAATTAGGACCTGAAAAGTTTGTTAACATCTATAGTAGCAACCTGAAAATATGCTTATTTCCCCCCTAAAATGAATACTATCTAAAAATATATGTTGATTGGATTATACAGGTTATCATGAACATATTTATGCATTTAGATTATACATGCACAAAGAAACACACACAGAAACACACACACACACATATTCACATACAAGCTACATCAAAAAAACCTCTGCTTACGCTTCCCAGTTGTTACCAATTGTTATCAATTCAAGGTATACTGGGCATATATTTCTTTGGCCATTTGTCATATTCTTGAACACACTATCTAGAGTAAAGGGATAGGGCTGGGATGTCATTCCATATAATGTGGTTCAACTGTCTCTTCGGTCATTCTCAGTCCAGGATGAAGGTATACAACAAGCACCTCTGTTCTCTTTAGTCTTGCTATTTAGCTAAATAAAACTCTAGCAGGAAGCTTGTTTCTGAAAGTTCTACAGTTTTTATCAAGTTATCTCCAGACTGGCTAGCTTAACTCTACTATCAATTGAGAAAAAGTGTTTAAAGAGAAGTTATATTTTCATTATAAAACCGTACAATGTGAGAAACATTGATGTGGATTTGAAACTGTACTGATAATGAGTTCATATTAAGCAAGGTACATGTTGCAACCAGTTCAACAGACATTTCCACGCGCTCCTCCAAAGTGGCCCAACCCAGAATATAATAGTTTAGCCAGGAGATTATTAGTCAAGTACAGTAGCAGCAAGAAAACCTTGACGCGTTTTTGCAAACTGACAAGTATTTCTAGGTGATTCAAACAAATTCAGGAAAATTAGTCTAATGATTATTTCCCAAAGAACAGCATGGCCTTCAAATCATTTGCCAAGAGTCAAAGTTCGATCACATAGTCCAGGGGTAGTCAACCTTGGCTCTTTTATGACTCGTGACTTCAACTCCCAGAAATGCTGGGAATTGAAGTCCACGAGTCATAAAAGAGCCAAGGTTGACTATCCCTGAGATAGTCCCTCAAGGCAACCCATAGGGCTGTACCTTCACATAACAACACTAGGAAAGGTTTAAAAAAAGGTAAATTGTAAACTCTTTAGAATATAAAAATATGTAATTTTCTACAGTATTCCCTATAACATTATGGTTATTTATTCAGCTGACTATAAAGATGCACACTTAGATGTTCCTAGGCCCTGGTATAGAGAGCATAATGATTATATTAGTGGAAACAGATACTTGAATATAATCCATAGCATCCCTGGAAGAACAAAAAAAAACAAGGATGTTACATCAATAAAGGAGAATATTTGTAGCTCAGTGTTGAAATGAGGCATCCTCAGTGCTGTCTGAGCTTGGTTGTTTTCTTGAAGATGTTTCATTAACCCAAACTTTGATGATGTCACCTAGTTTGGGTAATGACATGTCTGCAACAAAACAGAGAGCTCAGAGAGCACCAACGACCCGTCAAGGATGCTAAAGTAGATGCAAAGTTGAAAAGGAAGGAATTGCTTTATTCCTGCTGAATTTAGGTATGTATACTTTTGAATAGGTCTCCTTCCAAAAAGTGGAGAATGTTCATCAATAAAAATGCTCCCATAAACCAAATCTCAGTGGTTTCTCAAATATAGAAAAGGAGAATAAAGGCTTAGGCATCATCTTTCCTTATTCTTTAACAACAGCTTTAAGAATGAAGTCATGGGAATTGCATGTGTAGTGAAGTCCTGATTCAAAAAGCAGTTTATCTGTTTTTATTTGGATGCATGGTTTGCTTGTTACTTAAGTGTTCCCCTGCTTTTCACTCAACAAACTGTTAAACACATGTTATACATATTGGCAACAATACACTGAATAGCAAAGGATCAATACCCTTGCAGGATTAAGCAGAATTATCTATAAGATATCTGGAAGTTGATTTATGACAACCAGACTCATTTTCTTGTTGGTTCAAAACATTTCACTGCATATCAAAGTAGCTTCTTCAGTCTGACTGACTCTGAAGAAGCTACTTCGATAAGCAGCAGAATGTTTTGAACCAACAAGAAGTCCAGTTGTTATTAATCAAATTCCACACACCTCTATCCAGATGGGCTGAGAATCTTCTTCAATCTAGAAGATATTTTTCCCCAGAAAGTTGTTTTTAAAATGACCAGAGATTGATGTTCATTAGTTGTGTGTTTATGCATTAACACATTTTGCCATTACTGACCCTTACTATGTTCACATTCATGTTGATGAAGAGAAACTAGTGAATTTCCTTGTAAATATTTTTTTTGCAGACACTATTGCTGATAAAGATTAGTTTGCCTTAGATTAACAAATTTGCTTGAGTGATTTCTCATTTCTTCTTTGGAACTTGAAGTGCCAAGGCCTTGACTTCTCCTTGAACTATCTGCAAACCTCTTCCTTATTTATTCATTTATTAATCATGCAATTTTCCATTCTTAGTTTTCTGCACCACCTCATCTGTTCGATGCCAACATAAGTATGTCTTCCATCTTTGCATTACTTAGTACTTGGCTTCACATAATTGTATTATTGCTATCTTTTGCTTGATTTGGTTCATGGTTTCCTCTGCCTTTATATTATATTCATTTGATGAATACTTAGAGAATGTCTGTAAGCATTCATGAGCATGGCTGGGATTAATAGGATCTACAAATCTTTGAAAAGGAACTTTAATTCAATGAAGCTGGGATTGAATTACCCCACAGAATCAGAGTTTCAGGCCCAGTAGAGATCACTTTGAAGCTACATATCACATCATAAGGCTGCCTTTTAAATCACTATTTGAATTGGCAGCTTTTCTTCTTGTTTTGAGGTTCTTTTGTAGGCAATATAAACATAATTTCCATGGATGTAGAATATTCTTGGATATGAGCAGCTAGTTGGTTAATTATTTTATCTCCTCCAAGTTATTTGAGACATTTAAATTGTTTTAGGATTAATTGTACTATGGGAAACCATAATATTTATTTTTATTCTGAAATATGCTGATCTGCTTGTTCTGAGGTTACTCTTGAAGATTTTTAGAAATTATACCTCTAGAACCAGGAGTGATTTGCTGTGTTCTGGACATGTTCTATCCGTGTAACAGGACATTTCAAAATGTTACATATAGAACACCACAGTCTCCATCCTGAACTGGAAGAACTACTTCTGGAAAACAAGTAACAATTCTTGGAATAATTGGATCAATGAATTCTAAAGGAGAAGGATGATATTGGGCGTTTTAATGTTCCCTTGAAAGTTCTGTTTTCAAAATGATGAGTTTTCCACATTGTTTGGAGTTGGATGGCCAATAAATTTAGAAATCAATATTTTTTCAGTCTTAATTTATTTAATGTGGCCTGCTATATATCTCAGCCTTAAATGACATGTAAGGGAAATGTATAGAATAGAACAAAACAGAACAGAACAGAATAGAATATTCTTTATTGGCCAAGTGTGATTGAACACACAAGGAATTTGTTTCCGGTGCATAAACTCTCAGTATATATATACAAGCAACAAAGTGATAAAGGAGCATATACAAGTGTATACATAATATACAATTATAAATATATAAATTAATATATATTGTCAAAATAATGATCACCAAGAGAATATCTATCAAAAATAGAATTTAATCCACCAAGCTTTCGTCAAATACATTTGACATCGTCCGGGTTAAAAGGCAAACACCGGGGGAAGTCTTATATACAGTTGTTTAATGCCTGTTTCCGGCTCCTGGAGCGTGTCATCGGCCCCAGCTGATCGAGTTGAGTCCCAAGCACACGCCCCACATCAGCACCTATCCTCTTTCCATTGCTAATTTGCATTCTGTCATACGTTACTCCGTTAGCTGTTTCAGGGTTGGTCAGGTTGGGGGTCAGGATCTTTTCTCCTCCCCTGCTCATAACTCCCCCACCATCCCTTAGGGAGCGGGGGTGGGCAATTATTTAAATTGCTTCCAATATCCCTGGAAGCCCCAAGACCACTTTGATCTTGTTTATCTATCCCTCGGGGTTGTAACGCAGGCTCATAGTCACAGCCCATGCTATTCCTCCTCCCCTCCTCCTCCCGTGAGTTCTCCTGAATGATCTACTGTTCGTTTCCACGCTCTCTCCCTCGCGCACACTCAGGATGTTTTCTGCCATTGTCCCATTGTCAGTGCCTTGTTGTTCCGTCCATTGTCGGTAAGCACCATTCCCATTCATCCCCAATTCTCCATTCTCACTCCGTACGGGGCTCTTCCCCTTTAATTGCAGTCACTGCGCAGCTTTGTGTTGAGAATGTCAGAGGGGGGTGCCTTCCTCTGCTCGACTGCGACCGGGTTATCATAATGTGCCTGGTAGTATCCTCAAGGGGGGGATTCATCCTCGTTCTCATCGTCCATGTTAGACTTTATTATATTCCGTTTTACCTCCGGTTCCTCAAGCTCCACTCCATCTCCATTCCATCCCAAAAAGAGTCTGCTCCCGGCAGGTCATGACAAACCTAGCCGCAGTTGTCCGCTGAAGTTAGTCTGTTGTCGGTCTGGGAGGGAGGAGCTGTCAATAGAGGCTCCATCGGTGTAATTACACAGGGACGGGGGCCGGGCGGTATTTTTTTGATTACAAGTTTTTTGATTGGGTCTCCTCCACTCATTAGTACGGTTGCTGGCACTCCACATTTTCAGAGCTTGATGTGCTGCACACAAGTCTACGCGCCGATTGATGGACTCCATTCCTGAAAACCATGCCTCTTTCAGTAGGCGACCTCCTTTTGTCGTGTCGTTGGCCAAGATTTGGGCATTCTCAAAATCAAAGCAATGATCGTATTCTGCTACATGGGCCCAAATCTGCGAATGTTGTTCGCCTCGTCTAATAGCCAACCTATGCTCATGTAGACGAGTCTTAAGGCTTTTTGAGGTCTCGCCTACATAATTACTCTGGCACCCTGTGCAGTTGATCTTATAAACTATAGCTGATCTCTCGGCGGTAGGGAGCTGGTCCTTGGGGCGCATCACTTTAGCTCGTAGAGTCTGAGTAGGTTTGTGGGCTACCTGTATATTGTGGGGTGCCAGAAGCCTGGCTGTGGCTTCTGACACATTACTAATGTACGGTAGAGACACCCGTATGGTTCGTATCAGGGGTTCCTCTCCTTGCTGTCCGTTTCAGGGGTCTGATATCATACTGTATCGCTTAATAAACCTTAATATATATGTATTTCAGTGAAATACTCTAATATATTTTGATGCTTGGCAGTGTTACTGTCCTGTAAAGGCTCCACTTTCCTAGATAGCATCTCTTTTACCAAAAAGACTAAAATAAAACATTTAAAAATAAAACAGCTCCAATTTTTATGATACTTTCCTATTAGAGCTTTAGGCTGATTTGCCTCCTCCCCCTTAATTTAACTTTAAAGTGATTTCAGGATTGATAAGCACAGTTAACCACAATTAATATGGAACTACATACTACATTCTGAGAAAGTTCTGAAGTTTGCATTGATACAATCTTGTTTGTTTTGAATTATTAAGTAACTACTTTCTTGGTTTCCAAACATTAGAGCCAGTTTGATCCAGTGGTTAAGGCACCAGGCTAAAAGCAACAATGTGAGTTCTAGTCCTGCCATGAAAGTCAGCTGGTGACTTTGGATCAATCACTCTCTCTCACCTCACAGGACTGTTGTGGGTAAAATAGTAGGAATAAAGTGTATTAGCAATGTCCACCACCTTGATTTATTTATAAACTAAAATTAAAATTTATAAATTTATAAAAAAAATAATAAAAATGGATTGATGCAAGGAACAAGGACTGAAAGAAATATTTGATTTACTCTGATGGTACTGATTACTATTTCTTCATATTCTGATCTCTTAGACAGGATCAAATATGGGAAGGATGAAATGATACACTTTTAAAAAAACAAGTAATTCAAGTTCTGTCTATGGGATTGTACCTGTATCCTTGTCAGCCTGAATAGAATACTGAAACCTGGGCAACAGTCACCCAGTTTAGTATGGGTCCCACTCATTTGATTTCCACATTTGCTGTGCTGAATAGCAAGGTCTAAATGAAAGGATTCTTTGGCAATTTCCCTCTAAGATTGGAAGCACTTAGAACTTGTGGTGACTTTCATAGATTTCCTGGAAGAGTCTCCATTGAAAGAGGGCCTGAGGTATCATGTATAAAGCCAGTTCTGGGAACTCTGCAAATGAAAGTTCAGGTTCAGACTGCAGTGAGACCTAAGGTCTCAGTGAAAAATGATTAAACTCAGGCAGCATAGGCATTTGAGTGCTTAAACCAGAACTAAAGTGCCATAAGCAATGGTGGGATTCAAATATACGAGCAACCAGTTCTCTGGATGGATGCTGCTTCCAGAAGTCCATTCTGGGCCTGGGTAACAAAACATTAGTTACCAGTTCTGCCAAACTGGTGCGATCTGGCTGAATCCCATGACTGAACATAAGTATATGTTCATGAATGAACTTACATATTTGTTGGCAGCCAGGGTTTAGATCATATCCCAGTTGCTCAGGTTTTATAAATGCTCAATTGCCAACAGCCAGTGTTAGAGCAAAGTCTATACAATAGTGTTTGATCATGTTTTGTAAATTTTATTTATTTACTCACTCATTCACTTATTCACTCACAGAAGCTTTGTCTCTAAACTCTCAGACTAACTGGGTAAGATCCAAAAGTGCTTTCCCAAGAAGCAATTGGACTTTCTTGTTTTTTCTTAGAAGATGTTTTGCTTCGTGTTAAGTCCTTTGATCATAGGCGAATGATGAAGAGTCATTGTGCAGTTAACAGCTCTTTATTCGTTAACAGCCAAACACCAACAACAAGCAAAGCACACAGGCCTCTCTTTAACTGCCCAGATCCCCGGACATAATAGCAACAATTAGCGGAGTGCTTTTGCACCTTGCACATGCACGCAAGGCTGGCACCTCTCAGTCTGGTCCGGGGCAGCTTCTGGAATGCCCGGGACCATTGCAATGTCCCGAGCCTGCTTTTGCAGGCTCGGGACACAACCCCCCTCCCCCCTAGATGGAACATGCCTGTACACCCACACACGTCATCCCTTGGGAAGAGTGTTATAAGTTCCAACAATCAAATGCACTGAATGTGGAATACCCAAGGTTGCCTTCAGGCAAAAACCCCCTCCACATTGTTTTGTGAATACATGTATCTGAAATCAAAAATAATACAAAATAACCATGGCTTTTTTATTCAGGGCCCATATGAGTAGTTCCCCTTGAACTGGACAGCAACTTCACAAAATCCCTAAGATATTTGGGTGGGTACTTGGCCCGCTGTGACCTCCTCGGACCAGGAGAGATTGCTTGGCCCACCTGCTCACCTACCAGGCTAGGTGGGCCAAGGCATTGCTGCCCAAAATTGCCAGGTGACCCTGGTGCAGTTGCCTGGCCTCCCTGCTCACCTACCAGGCTCGGCAGGCCAGGACTTTGCTGCCCCAAACTTGTGCCTGAGGTGCCAGAATCAGGAGTCGCCTCCCTGGCTACCCCCTTCCCTGTTAACTTCCTTCTGGAAGCAATTGCGGAATTGGGCCATCCCCCCTGCTGTATTCCTTGTTCTCTTGCAGTGTGTGAGTTTTGTGGATACCCCAGGTCAGTCTCCCTGTCTGGAGCACCATCTATCATGTGTGAATAATGTGGATACCCTTGGTGTGACTCCCTGTCTGGAGTAATTGTGGGTGTGTGGGATGACCCCCTATCCACTGAATTCCTATTCCGAGCAATTGCGGAACCTTGTGATGAAATATCCATGGCCTCAGCAGTGGCCAGTGAAGGCTGGTGACCCTGATCCCCAGAATGCATATTATAACCCTCCTCCCCCCTCAGAGCAGAGCCAGGAGCGGAAGGGTGAGAGTCCAGTCTCCCACGCAGCTGATTTATGTGCCTGTGAATGATGCGGCCATCTCCCAATGTCACTTCATAGGACAATGGCCCAGAGACCTTGCAGACCACAGCTGGTACCCAGAGATGACCAGTTTCATGCCCAGACCGGATCACCCACTTGAAGTCTCCTCGGTGCCTGTGGTTGTGACACCTGTGACGCCACCCGGTCAGGGTGCAGCCTGTCCAGCTTAGTGATGAGGCAGCAACCCCAACGGAGTTCAGCAGGGCTCTTCCCTATGGCAGTGCATGGTGTGGTGCGGTGTGCAAGAAGAAAATCTGCTAACCTATGATGCCAGTTACCGTAGGTCAGTTTCTTGAGGGCATCTTTGGTGGTGTGCACCATTCTCTCTGCCAGTCCGTTGGAGGATGGGTGAAAGCGAGCCAAAGTCACATGGTGGATCAGGTTGGCCTGAAGAAAAGCCTGGAACTCAGAAGAGGTAAATGGAGGACCTTTATCTAAAACCAGAACATCTGGAAGGCCGTGTGATGCAAAAATTCCTCTCAACACCTGGATGGTCTTGGCAGTAATAGTGGAGGACACAAGAACAACCTCTAGCCACTTGGAATGGCTATCAACAACAACCAGGAAGAATTGCCCCTGAAAGGGCCCAGAGTAATCTAATGCACCCTAGACCATGGGTTTTGAGTCTCCTCCCACCTATGTACTGGTGCCTGAGGCATTTCAGGCCGAGACCGTTGGCACACTTGGCACCCATGCACCTGAGCCTCGATGGCTTTATCGAGTCCAGGCCACCAAAGATCGCTGCGCGCAAGCACTTTCATCCTGACTATGCCAGGATGTCCCTCATGCAGAGATTCTAGACCTCAATGAGGCTGGGATCACTACCCTGCTACCCCATAACAGGCATCCCTTGAAAGTGGACAACTCATGCTTCTTGAGCCAGAAACTTTGGAACTCAGCATCAGGGCACTTGTCAGGCCATCCTGAGAACACCCATGTCCACTCTTTTGAACACAGCAAAGTCCACATTTTGGACAGAGTGGATTGCGGGTTTGAAAGAGGGGTCAAAGAGGCTATTTATGTCAAAATTGAACAGCACTCTCTTAACGGGGGAGGGAGAGGGATACAACATCATCTATCTTCTCTCTGCAACACAGTCTTTTCAGTAGTTCCAAGAAGGCCCTACACCCATTTGCACTACTGAGGTGACCTTGAAGACACAGATAAACCTCCAAGTGGCCTTAACAATTCTCTAAAAGAATGCAAATGCAAGGAATATAAATCCTTCTATTCCCCACCATCCAGTCAGAGCTGAAGAAGTTTCTTGGATGAGAAGCGAAACGTCTTCAAAGAAAAAACAAGAAAGTCCAGTTGCCTCTTGAAAAAAAACACCATTGGGACAATCATGACCCGGATGACTGAGAATCTCCATAGACATTTAACTGGGTAAGAATGCTTTTAGATAGGAAGATACATACCAAAAATCTCACTTGAGCCCAAATGAGAACTTGCTATTTTTCCCATGAATCGCATCTAGAACCACAGTGGAGCTATTTACTTTAGGCAGCCTCAAATGGCTTATCAAAACTATGCCCAATGACATGGCTGTTTTCACAATCAGATGCCCTGTGGACTTTCTCAATGCAATGCTTATGGAGGAGCAAATCTTGTTACAGATACAGTGAAAGAGCTGTTCTAAGAAACTGATTGGAAGGGTATCGCCTGATGGTGGGTCTTTCCCAGCTTGACATCTGTTTCAGTCTGTGACTCAGACTTTAATTTGCTTAATAGCCAGGTGCTTTGACTCTCACAAAATCTGTGTGCAAACTACCTTGGGTTCAATCTCTGCCTTCAAATTCCTGTGAGTGTTTAACTGTGTTATAGACTTAATTTTGCTAGCAGCTAAAATACCTAGCTCTATTGCTACCTCTGAGATGGGACAGGGATGGGGGCAGAATATGCGTTTCGCTGCTACTTGGAGTATATAATTGAATCAATCCTGTTAGGTTCTAATGTCTAAGCAGGAGTTACACAGAATGCAGCCTTGATGAGGTATGACAAAATGAAAATGATCTACTTTAGGTGAGTCTAGGAGAATCTTTCTCCCTTTGCATTGCAAATTCTCATGCATTCTCACAAAATAAATATGAAAGACCTTAAAATATCAAAAATGGATTGTAATACAGATTGGAGTATTTTGGACTTTAAAAAGTGAAAACCAATTTCCCCGTTGAGCACACACTGAAGTAATGTCAGGAGTCATATTTTATGACGCAGCTAAAGGAAAATGTCCTCTTAAGATGTGGTCACTTCCAAACATGCCACAATGTTGTAATCCCTTTTGATATGGAGAATGTTCCCATCTACGCATAGTAGCTAGGAGGATTTATGGTATAGTGTTGCAATTCATTTGATACCATCTCATATCTATAGATATTTTGCCTCCTTTCTTCCTGGAAAATATCTCTTACCCCCCCAAAAAAAATATAGAGAGGAAATAGGATGACAAATCTGGGCTTCATTTTCAACACTGTTTACACAATAAACAGTATAAGAGTATTAAACAAGTGTGGAAATTAAAAGATAAGGAAAATGCCATTTATGTGCACCTATAATCTTGGCACCGTTTGTTTGGCATCTTGAAGTATTTTCCTGATCACTTCCTGTTCATCTGAACTGTTGAAAAAAAAATGCAGATCAAGTTTCAGATTCTACACTGTATATATTCACAGGTGATTCCTGCCACAGGATTACTGTTTTAAATTCTTCTGGAATCTTCCCCCAGGATGGATCACACACTGATCTTTCTTTGGGTGCTGCTATTTTCAGCCACAGGTAATATGTTGGGTTTGATTTGGGCAAAGAGATACTTGGTACCAATAAAGGAGAATATTTGTAGCTCAAGGTTGAAGTGAAGGGTCCTTGGTGCTCTCTGAGCTTGGTTGTTTTCTTGCAGACGATTCATTACCCAAACCAGGTAACATCATCAGTGCTCAGAGACTACCAAGGACCCTTGCAAGGGAAACTTATTACATTGTCTCCATGTACAAGGCTGGAAATGAGCTAAATAATAATGAAGAACTGAAAAATTTGAACTATTTGAACTGCTTGACATTTTAATACAATGACCAGAATGTACGTCTACTGCAGCTTTCTTGGGAACATTATAGATATTTCCTTCAGAGTTTTTTTCCCCCTTCCTAATCTAGCTAAAAGGCATAGTATTAAGAGGTAATCCCTATCCAAATACTGGACTGGTTCTGACTATGTAGTCTCCAAAATCAGCCAAGATGTTGCTACTCTCTAGGACAGTTATGATTTATTGAAATCTATTTCACCAGTCAGACTATAAAATTTGGTCTACAGATTATGGGTAGACTAGATATTTAGCTAATGTTAGTAATAATTAAACCAGAACTTTATTTACTTAGAAGTAACTAAATAGCAGAAATTGAACCGAGACACTTGAATGGAATTTTGCTTTCACTGAAAGCAGAAGGACAAGATAGACCTGATTAACTTGTTTGTTTTGATTAGTGTCTCAATTTTGTGATTCTGTCAGCACAAGCCACAGACTACTCAATCCTTCTTATTTGCCCTAAAAGAACATTTCTGTGTAATTTATCTTCAGTATAAGATGCAATCAGGGCAGCTTTTCCAGTTTTATGTAATAAAAAAGTCATTGTAAGGCTAGGGTTTTTCCTAACTTGGTGGCAGATTTAAGCACAGATTGCTGCAAGTATATTTATTGATTTCTGTACAACCACATTCTGATTTCTTCTTACAATAGGTGATGGAATAAAAAGTGTTTAACTAAAAATCAAGAAAAACAATGATTGATTCAGCCAATGTAGTACTAATTTGTCAGCCCAACATTGATTAGACTCTACTTCTTAACCTTCCTCCCTCCCTCCCTCCCTCCCTCCCTCCCTCCCTCCCTTCCTTCCTTCCTTCCTTCCTTCCTTCCTTCCTTCCATAATAATTATATTGTAATATAATTTGATGTAAATTATCATCCTAAAAAAAATCACAAAGTCAAAAACTTGGAAATGATAGCAAAACTAGGAGCTAAGGTGTAGTTGGAATGGGGTAAGATGTTAGAAGACAACATAGGTCAGCACTAGAAAAGTCTTCTTCTTAACTTACGCAAGCAGATGCTGATAAGATGCTCCTCTGCCATACAAATAACAAACGTGAAATAAAAATGCACTTATGCTTAAATGCCATATTTTATCATGCAAGTGACTGTACTTATTGTAGCAATGTAAATACAGTCTTTCTATAGGTGAAGAATGCACCTCCATGCAGCTACTTGAGGTTGGATGAATAGAATACCATGCTTTGGATGCTCCATTTAATAGATCTGATGCAATATGGCTAAGGCTGATGCCTTAAGAACTGCTGTGTAAAGATAATGAATCCCTAAATAAAAACTCTTAGAATGATTTGGCCCAGTTTTAGAATTTGTAATTAAATGATGTGACATGCTAATAATCTTTTTATTTTACTCAAGATATATTGTAGGAATGTATAAAATATATAAAAGACAAATGAAATTAAATGAATCAAGTTAATAGAACAAAAATGGTATACTTTTCAGAAATATGTGTATTGCTTTTCCATGGTTATTTAACAATTCTTATTTTATTGTAATTGAAATGCCATAAGCTTATTCAACTCAGTATCCATCTAACTGTCTTTGAATAAACATTCCAATCATTTCTAGCCAATCAGAATTATTATGCTAGATAGGAGAAAAGTGTTTTACCTAAATTCTGTGTTTTTCTTAATTGGAAGGACTTATTCATTTATTACTATTTGCGTGATAGGTTTGTAATTCCTATAACAATAGATGCTGGTAAACTATAGTAGATATCAGGTGTAAAACATCAGACCTATATTTAAACATTATTGTATAGGTAAGCATTTCTATATACTGGAAATAGGATATAAAGCCAAAAAACAGTAATTAGTTAATATCCATTACCAAAATTCAAAGTGGACTGATACATGCCGTATTTGGTATAAATCAAATCTCACACTATAACCAACCAAAAGTTTAATTTAGAAATGTTCAGCTATCATTCTCAATAAGTGGGTTTGAGAATTCGACAATGAAGAAAGCAATACTCTAAAGTTTGATTATATAGATAGATAGATAGATAGATAGATAGATAGATAGATAGATAGATAGATAGATAGATATAATCTTGAATAAATATAATCATTTCTATATTTTCAGAAAGCTTTATATTACAGTGTAATATGCCAGGGATATCAGAAATTAAACAGACATTGATTCCTGTAGCTCAAATACACTAGATGTTCTACACCTAGAGTATAGTAGATTAAATTCCACACATAAACATAGTCAGTCAATTCCTTAGCTCCTACCAAATCCATTTTGTTTTCCAGTTTAAAACCTGGGTTGAGTTTACTTATTACTCAGGCTACTGCAGAATATTGAACTAAGAAGAGTACCTATGCAATCAAGTGATTGACTTACAGTACACAAGTGAATAAGAATACCCGATATTTATGTCCCAGTATTTATAAGTATCACTTAGAATCCCATTAATATTTTTTTCAGATTAAACGTGCTCACTTTAGATTCTGGCTGCATACAATTAAGAAGAATAAATAGTTAAATAAAGGGCATAAAGGGGAGCTATGGTTGGATGACAAAAACGATAGGTTTACAGTACTAGGACAGGATCTCCAAAAATGTAGCAATGTGTTTGTTCATATTAAATAAATTTTATTTTTTTCCCCAGCAGCATCTACAGAATCTGGTAAGTGTTGTTCTTCTACTAATGGAATTGATTCAATGCCACATTTTTTCTTTAAAGATATGAACCTTCTGAAGTAGGTACAGAAGAAAGGACATTACAAAATATATACACTTCATTTTTTTCTTCTTAGCATTGAGAAATATGACCAGGTTAAAGGGTTGGGAATGAATCACTCTCATTCAGATGCTGCCAGCATAAATGGAAAAAAATTGTTTCATATTAAGCAGATTACAAAATTCAAACATTCAGTTCTTTTCCTCCTGCCTTCTACTTTCTAAATACATCAAATTCATGAGCTTGTAACCCAGGCTGAAAAGATTTCAAGATCAATTGCTGGTTTTGTGAGTTACAGTAGGGATATTTCAGTGTAGATGAAGGAAGGGGGGAAAAAAGGAAGATTCAATAATATTTTCTCTGCATTTGTTGTCAGTTATGGAATCAGCAACACACATCCTAATTCATAATTTCCTTTACTAGACTTGGCACACAGAACCTGTACTCCCACTTCTCTCCTGCCTGGGTTGATCATATATATTTCTTAAGTACATATTTCTTACCTGCAGACCTTCCACCTGAAATTTTCAGGAGAATAGTAAAGATAGCTTGATTGTGTTTGCCATCAGGAAGTGTTGAGCTTGATCATCATTTAACAGAAGACTTAGATTTCTTCTGCCTTTAACTTGATCAGCATTGTATTGTTCTATTTTTTTTTTAAAAAAAGTGGATTTGACTATAAGTCAATAAAATAAAGGTAGGCAAGGAGTTAAAAATTTAAAGGGGGGGGGGCGGAAATCTGTTCTGTCTAATCTAATTTTCCCAAGTAACCAATAGCTGCAGATTAAAATTCTTGTCTTATTTTCTTCCATAAACATAATCATAAACCAAACATCTGAGTAACAATGCATCGGGGATGAATAATGTGATATTTTTTTCCCTGAGTTACAAAGATGCCACTTCAAATTTATTTATTTTATTAATTTATTTTAGATTAAAACAGTTATTCCTAAAAATACAAACAGTAGAGGAGAGATTAGATTGTAGGTCTGGTCAGTCATTGGGATCAGAGGTTTAACCTTCTGAGCTTTTGGATTCGTGTGGAGCCCGTCCCCAGGGAACTTCTCTCACACCACATTCTGATAGAGAGAAGTCCCCTGAGGATGGGCTCCAGCATGAGTCCAAAAGCTCAGAAGACTAAACCTCTGGTCCCAGTGATCAATCCTAAAACATGTACACTTGCCTTCATTCATGAGAGAGTAAATTAATCAAAATACTAGAGCAATCTTAAGATATCCCTGGTTCCCTGGGACCTTAGGCCTGGTAACAAAGCCAGGTCTTGAGGGAGTTGTGGAAAAAAAGGGAGGGGGGAATGGAGCTAACCTCACTTCAAGGAGAAAATGTTCTATTAACATGCTCCATGGCCAAAAAGGCCCATCTCCTAGAACAGGGGTAGGCAACCTTGGCTCTTTTATGACTCGTGGACTTCAATTTCCAGAATTCCTGAGCCAGCATGGCTGGCTCAAGAATTCTGGGAGTTGAAGTCCACGAGTCATAAAAGAGCCAAGGTTGCCTACCCCTGTCCTAGAATCTGCCAGATTTAACTCCTTAATAGACAGGATCCGAAGCATACCCTTCTTCCAGATTTAATGGAATGGGTAGATGTAGTTGGGGAGATAACCTTAGATAACCGTACTAAGACACAAAAGTACTTTAAAACCAGCACCTTGAAGTGGTCCTGAAAGAAAACTGGCAACAATCCAGTTCATGGAGCACAGGGGTGACATGTGCTGTTCTAGGAGAACACATAACCACCCATGCTACCAGCTGAAGCTTCCAGATACTTTTCAAGGGCAACCACATGTAGAATGCATTACAACAGTCTGATCTAGAAGTTACTAAAGTGAATGTGTCTGTGAGCAGACTTTCCTGGATTCTACCACAGATGTATTTGTGCAAGTCTTCAAAGCTTTTAGTGTTCTGCTGATGATTGACCAGCAGGGACAATTTTAGTGAAGAGAAATTTATGCTGCCCTTCTAATAGTTTACTCCCTAAAGGTCATGTACATACACACACACAAATACACAAATATCATAATATGACCAAACTACTCCAAGACACAATTTCTACCACATTTGGCAAAACAATTCATCTTTATCTTTTTCTCTTTTCATCTTCTTTTTGAAGGAGTAACTCCCATGCCAAGTGAACTTTCAGCAACAAGTAAGTAGAACATCTACATAACATAACCCATAAAATTAGTTTTGGCTATGCCAGCCTTCTAGAATACTTTTTAGAACAAAAATATTTCAGCAAGCAACTGACATGCAAATATCCACAAGGTGTATGTGAGCTTCATTTGCAAATTTTTAATTTGTTAAAAGAACCTATTGCAGAATGCCTCGAATTTTCTTGCTTTCAGACATTTTTATTTCACCAGTCTTTTACTGAGTTACCAATAGCATGAATTTCAAGACTGGCAAGTCAAATGCAGCTAATGTAGGCAATATTATAAGGCATGCAAGATCTTTGATTAATATAATGATGCCTAATGCTCGGTCTTCACAGAAAATAAAACAGGAAAAATCGCACTTTTACTTCTTATAGCTGTGCCCTAATGATTTCATTGTATTATATTTTGGTTTAAGTCAACTTTCTGCTTCTGCTGATTATCATGAGACCAAAACGACCAAGATTGTAAGGCATAAGAAACAATAAAATTTTAAAAAAGAAAAGAAAAATGAGATTAAAAAAACCCCATTGTGCTTATAGGAGCAGCTTCAGATGATAGCGCAGCCAGTAGTTATATTTTTGCTAAGAGATATTAGATATGGTATATTTCATTAAATATATACAGAAATCAAAGTACTAATCAATTAATATTAAATTCACAATTCCTAAATTAAGCTAATGTATAAATTTTCACTATAACATTTATAGAGTTGTACAATAGATATTATGTAATTTAATATGTTATGAAATATGACATTTTACTGTTTTTGTTTGATAGCTGAAGCTGGATGTGGCGGGATGTTTTCAGACGTCCACGGCTCATTTTTTGGCCCATATTATCTTGGAGGAAATAGAAATAAAAAGTGTATCTGGACAATTTACTCCCCTGAGCATTATCCAATAAGACTAACGCTTAATTACATAAAGTAAGCATTTTATTTTCAAATATCATTCAGTCATTTTAGTTTCTTTCATTTCATTGGCCTTTTTGCATGAAAGGGGAACCAAGAGTGTTTTTCTCCAATGATGCTCTGTTGTCTGGTCCATGATTATTTTTGTCTCCTTTTTCTTATTCAGCTTAGATTGTGCTACTGAACATATTGCTGTCTATAATGGAGAACCATATAGGTCAACTCTACTTAGGAAAATATGTGAAGGAGAAGCAACACTATACTCTTATTCGGGCATAATGACCTTGGTAGTATACAGACATTCTGATACAATAGGTCAAGGCTTCGTTGCATTTTATGATGTAGGAGGTAAGCATGCTGCTTAATCTGTTTAATGAAAAGAGGGACAAGGGGTAACATGATAGCAGTGTTCCAATATCTCAGGTGTTGCCACAAAGAAGAGGGAATCAAGCTATTCTCCAAAGCACCTGAAGGCAGGACAAGAAGCAGTGGATGAAAAACCGATCCAGGAGAGAAGCAACCTAGAACCAAGAAGAAATTTCCTGACAGTAAAAATGATTAATCAATGGAATGACTTGCCTCCAGAAGTTGTGGATGCTCCAACACTGGAGGTTTTAAGAAAAGATTGGACAACTATTTGTCTGAAATGGTATAGGGTTTCCTGCCTGAACAGTGGGTTGGACTAGAAAATCTCCATGGTCCCTTCCAAGTCCATTATTCTGTTATTCTGATACTTGCTGCTGTGTTTTTCCTACCATGGGATATTTTTGCTGACATTTTACTTCATTATACATGTCTTTCTCTGCTAATCTCAGAAATCAGAATTGTGATTTCAGATTTAGATTTGTTATCCCTTTGAGATAAGCACCAGTCCAGAATTCAGTTCCATGGAAAGAAATTACACAAAGAAAAGCTCACCCTATCTTAGTTTGGAAAGGCTGCCCATTTTTCAGAACTGTATAGTCAAAGGTGTTGCCAGAATTTATGTCATACAGAATGCTTTTCAAATATAGAGCAATTTTTTTTTCTATTTTTGCTTCCTTCTAGTTAGGACTAGAAAGGGATTTGGGAACGAGCTTTTTAGCAATACTCCTTCCTCCTTTGATAGCATGTACTCAGGACTTTGCCACCTCTGGGGACCGTAAGAGAAGCAACAAGAGAATATTCTGGCTTCTTCTATAATCCTTTCTCAACTCTCAAATTTTGGCAAGGAAGAGTAGACTTGTTGAACTTTCTAGAGCAAGAATGTGCAAGCCACACCCCGAGCCTCCTTCAGTCCCAGAGCTCTTAATCCATTCCATTGTGAACATCTGGACATATATAACCTCCTTGGTCTTCTTCAGTTGAAGATGGTGCACAGGAAATGACTTTCCCATAGGAGGCTATGCCACACATTTACTAGATGTATTTTGTAAGATGACTTCAACACTAACAATATTATGTTATTGCTCAGATTGTTAAAATAAATGGACTGCTTACAAAGTTCACACAGCTGTTCTGAAAAATGTTTCCAGTTGTCTCAGCCCAAACGTTCATGCCAAATCACCAAATTATTGGTGAATCCAGAGAAAATGTTGCATGTTCCTATAGATGCACAATTAGACAGAGACAGCATTCTGCATTTGGTTCAGTCTAATTATATATTAGTACTGGACCTTTTTCAAATACTTTGCATGGCCCTGTGGGACACAAAGCAAAGCATCCAAAATCCAATATTACTGTTATTTCTGAGAAGAATTCTTGGGCTCATTAGTCCTTAAAACAAGCAAAACATAATTACAATTCAGTGCTTTATTCACCAACCCAGAAAATGCTGTAGGATTGTAAGACATATCCTGGTGTGCCACAGCAATGACAAGGAGATCCTCCCCCAGTTTGCTTTCTAGCTAAATTCTCCATGACAACAGTTTTATAAATGGCTACCCAATAATCATTTTGTGAGACTGCCCATGATACAATCTCAGTCTGCAGATATGCTGCAGTCAGCCATAGAAACATAGAAAACTGATGGCAGAAAAAGACCTAGTGGTTCATGGAGTCTACATTTGAAGGGTTTTTGTTTTGTTTTGTTTCTATTTATGTATTTTTTTAAATTATTATTTTTACCTTCATCAACATTACCCTCACCTCTTCATTATGTAGAATCGCATGGGTGTGTCATCAAAGGAATCTTATAAATCTCTAAACTGAAAGGGCTTCCTTTGTTTCTTTTTAGTCTTATAAAGTTCTTATTTCAAATGGACAGGAATGTTTTCACAATCTATCTATGACAATAGTAGTCATTTTGAAATTATTTTAATCAGTTCTGTCCTTTCGAGCTGTGTTTTTCACCTTGATAACTTTAAGATGTCTGGACATCAACTCCCAGAATTCCTCAGCATGCTAAAGCTTAAAGTTGCTAAGGTTTAGAAGACAATGAATGGGAAGGAGCTTCTAGGGATATTGGTAGGAAAAACAGTAGAAAAGCAGAGAAAACAACTGAGATTTATTTACTTATTTGTATCTCATCTTTATTATTTTTTACAAATAACTCATAACTGTTAACTAAGGATATTGGGCAAAGAGTAATAGATTTTTTTTTCTTATCAGTGGCTTTCACAACTCCATTGCCAACAGTTGAACTCACAAGTAAGTTTGTACTCTCAATCTATAGTTTTCCAAGAGGTTTAAAAAATTATTGTTTGCAAATAATAAGTAAACTAAACTAAATAATCAACTAAATAATAATAGAACAACTATGGCAAAAGAAAGCAAAGGTAGTACCAATAGTAATAGATGCAATCCCAAAACAACTGGAACACCATTTGAACACCATCAGCACTGACAAATTCATCAATTGATAAATCAATTGCAAAAAGCAGCTTTACTTGGAACAACATACATTCTGCAACAATATATGCAACACAATCAAATATCCATATCTGCCTATCCCAGGTCCTTGGGAAGGACTTGAAAGGTGATCAAAAATGCCAAATCCAGGCTACCTGTGCAATGGATCATAAATTGTCATGTTTACTCTTTGCTCAGGAATTAAGAACAATTATACAATTCAAGAGGGTTACATTAAAATAGGATAGACATTCAAGCTTAGTCCAGAGATTTCAACAATATTACCAAACTCTAAATGCTATAGATAGTTTATCTTGTTTCTGGGAACTTCAGTCCCATTTCATTTGGAGAAATCCATGTAGGAAAGCCTGCCATTTTACTCTGAGGTTTAAATAAATTTTAACTGCCAAGCATTTAGTTGTACATTACTGTGCAGGTATATGTGCTGAGATGTATATTTCAGGATCAAACATTTTTCATTATTCCAATCCCAAAACAAAATCACATATGGAAAGTGTTATGTATTATTTGGTGGGAATGTTCTAAACTGGGAAATGTAAGTGACCATATTACTGCCTTTGTTATTTTATTCTTCTCTCCTTCCTTCCATTCTGCCTTTATACTGACCCTCATGATGGCTTTGAGAAAATTCAGTTCACTATCACATTTTAGTTGTAATAACACCAGATTTTAATGACTGGTTATAATAGTATCAACAATTAATACAAGTAATATCATTTACATATAATTTTATTTAATTTTATTTTCTGAACAGCTCATCCTGAAGAAACAAGTGGTAAGTTTCATAACCTCCTTTTCATGTCTTAAAGCCAACTTTTTCTGGTCAACTACTCTGTGTGAGTGATTTAAATAACTGATTAAAAAAACACCCTCATAGAAGAAATCCTAGAGTATTCCTTTCCTCAAAATCAGAAACAGTTAGTTGGATATTAAACCACAGAATATTAATGCAATATTCAGTAGTGAACAGGTATTTTTTTTTCTTTAGCAATAACAATAGTACTTAGACTTATATACCACCCCATAGTGTTTTACAGCACTCTCTGGGAGGTTTAGAAAAGTCAGCATTATTTGTATATTGCCCTCAACAATCTGGGTCCCCATTTTACAATCTTGTAGGATGGAAGGCTGAGTCAACCTTCATTTTACTTTTCTTTATTGTTTGCTGGATATGAATTGCATTTGGTTCTCTTATTATGTGAATGCATGGGTGGATCTGGAAGGGCATCAAACCTTGCTTTTATGTGAAGATATCCCTTGTTGGTTTGGCATTTTCCTGGAAGCAACCAAGTGGCAAATGTGTGGCATGTTTATTTCTCCTTTTCTACTTCTCTTTATACCAAAGCAGTTCATCTTCTGATAGCTAAAAAAATATAATTATTCTACAGAGTAATTCTATGTCTAGAATCTAAGGCTCTGCTATTTTAAATCCTGGTCCTAATTAATCATCAATAAGGGATCTATAACCCACATGACCCTTTTGGATAATTTTCAATCATCCTGGAGGAAGGGCATTACCTAATCTTACATCCTGTACTTCCTCAGTGCAATATTTGATCTTATTTGGTCATTAGAAATGAAGTAGATCTTTAATACTGATCTTCCAAATGACCTGAGCATACCTCTTTCCCCTACTTTTTAATGATATCGATTCTATAGAGAATTATTCACAGCACCTTCCCAACAACTATCTCAATCTCTGGGAGCACATGGGAAACTTTGTTTTTCCATGCGTGTTAAGAAAGACATAAATACATGGAATATTGAATATGCCTCTTCCTTTTGGGAGAGAGCCACACAAGTCTCATATGCTGTCCATTCTAAATGACTTGGTGATTGGCTATTTGATAATTGGCTAATTACTGATTGTCAAATTCCACGAGTAGGTCAAAACAGGAGAAAGCTCTCGATGGGAGCACACTTGTCTCCAGAAATTTCTAGAAAGGTAGATTTTTGCCCTAGCCGTTGCTTTTTAGCAATTAATAGTCTAGGTTCCCCCTTAAAAACAGGCTTTAAAAGTATGTGCACATGTATGTGGATATATGTGTGTATGTATAGGAACAGTCAATTCGATCAGAAAAAAATAGGATTTGTTTATTACCTTTTTGGTGTTTTCTGTAGTTATATGTATTATCTACAGAGAGCTGATTTCTGATTGTAAATAGATGATGACAATGATTCTAAAACTAATAAAGAGACAGTTATTCTAGTTTTTATAAATTATTCACTGAAATATATGACAGGATAAATTGAATAACGATAAAATCAACACAGTGTCGTTTAAATATCCTTTCTTTATGAACAGGTTTGATAGAAACAACTTTTGGTGAGCAGCCAACTTCTTTTTTCCATTCCAAACCTGAAACCTTCTAATAAACTTACATGCGTTAATGATAGGTTTCATAACTTCCAACTGGATTTCTTTTTTTAAAAAAAAATAATTAGCTTAATTAACATTAGCCTTTCTACATCTAGAAGTTCAGGGAAAATATTGGCTCCATAGCTGTGGCTGTCATCTCAAAGACTAATCTAGCCATCACTGATAGAGGATAGATCATTGAGGAGAAAAGACTTCATTGAGTCATGACAGTGGTTGTTTCGTATTATAAACATTTAAATCTCTAGTATGCAAAGATCCTTCCTTAGTAACTAAGTGATCATGTATAAGCAGGTTACTACAAAAGATACTTGAATATGAGCAAGCAGTGTCCAGCCGCTGCCAAAAAAGCTAATACAGTCCTGGGTTGTATAAACAGAGGCATAGAATCAAGATCATGTGAAGTATTAGTACCTTTATAAACCCTAGTAAGACCATACCTGGAATACTGCAACCAATGTTGGTCACCATACTACAAAAAAGATGTTGAGACTTTTGAAAAAGTTCAGAGAAGAGCAACTAAGATGATCAAAGGCCTGGAGACTAAAACACATGAAGAACGACTGCAGGACTTGGGTTTGGCTACTCTAAAGAAAAGAAGAAACAGGGGTGACATGATAGCAGTATTCCAGTATTTGAGGGGCTGCCACAAAGAAGAGAGGGTCAAATTATTGTCCAAAACACTAAAGGGCAGGACAAGAAACAATGGTTGGAAATTGATCAAAGAGAGAATCAATTAAGGAAATTAAGGAGAAACTTCCTAACAGTGAGGATAATTAACCAGTGGAACAGCTTGCCTTCAGAAATCATGGGCGTTCCATCACTGGAGGTTTTTAAGAAGAGACTAGACAGTCCCTTGTCTGAAATGGTATCAGTACTCCTGCTTGAGCGGGGGGCTGGACTAGAAGACCTCAACGGTCCCTTCCAGCTCTGTTCTATTCTATATTATGTATCCCTGTAATGTCATGTTGGGGAGTCAGGTAGGTTTCACTTAGTGTATTTATTTCTTGCCTGGCTTCACTGTTATCCCACAAATATGTTCTGACTCTTTTTGTGTATTTTTTAGCTCCACCTACTCCAGCTCAACCTGATATTAAAACAATTAGACCAAGCGTGACCTCTAGTAAGAAAATTCACACTTTTATATTCTACAACCATGCCCTAATGAGTGATCAAAAATGTAGCCCAGTAATTTCATATTTACATCACTTATTGCATTTCATGTGACCAGGATCAGTGGAAGGAACATCTAGGGATTTAGTAAAAGTATCAAAAGAGAGAAATATTCACTAGAAAATCAGCATCAGAAATCTGTGAAATAAATATCTTTAATACCAATTTTATTAGTTTATCAGAATATAAAATATAAAAGAAAATAAAAATAACAGGAAAATAGGGGACGTGAATGGGAAACAGAAAAAAAGCATCTTGTTAGCTCAGTAGAAATAATAACATTACAAACTCAACTTTTACTTTTATACTTTAATATACACTTGCCATATAACAACACAACTATCTAACCCAAAATCAAAGTTTTATTTTTTCCATCTCAAGTACAAAATCCAGAAGCAGTTTCCAAGTAGAAACAAAATTAGACGTGTTCTTTTCTTTGAATAAAGCAGTCAATTTAACCACCTTTACTTTTTCCCTTGTTGTGGGAAGTAATATATATTTCTATTTTCATTTATTAATTTTAATAAACTGTTATCATTTATATCAACTATACTTCTTTAACCTTAAAGGGGCAACCCTTTTTTTACATTCATTTTAAAACTGTAAACTTTTCTTTAAAAATATTTCTAAAGTCAATGAACTCTCGTACATTTTTTTAAAAAAACTTCTTAACATACATACTTTCAAATTCACTTTTAATAATATTTTATAAACTTTAGGAATTACTCAAGCATTATATATAAGTGAAAGAGAGAAAAATCCCATTTTCAAAGCCACTTTATAGATACAAATCCATACATTAGAACTTTCTTTCTATTAGATATAACAGACTAGTAAAAATTCATCCTAATTCCAATTAGCTCATTCAATTTAAGTCACTCTCTCAAGCTTGTCCTCATAGAATAAAATCATTTCTTCTCTGGAATAACTGTCAAGCAATTTTAAACTTCTCTTTTTCTCAAGGGATTCTCAACCTTGATAGTATCCATGAAGACAAAGTTCCATAGTTGTTTTTTGAGAATTGTAGATTTACTTGGAACTCTTCTTTCAATTACACTGGAAGACATGTATTTAAACGATCATCATAACAGAAATTGGTACCAGATTTATAGTCCAAAAATTGTAGTTATATCCTTTGCATTGTCAGGTACTTGAGAAATTGCTTCAATGATTTGGTAACTTTCTTTACATAATGGCATCTCTGAATTGCTCATCTTTTTCCCAATTATTTGAGTAGTTTGTTCCTCTTGCTTTTATAATGTTGTTAGAACATAATTGATCTATAAAGTGAATTATTTTATTTAAATATTTCTGGAGCAGGCTCTGGAAATCTGATACAGTCCATATTTTTTCATGCTCTTAGCTCCCTCTTGTGGGCAAGGAGTAATTTTTTTATACATCAATTTTAATGCTTCCTGGCCAATCAGAATTCATACAAATTGAAAAACTTCAGCCACCCACAACTAAACAATCCAAAGCTACAGATTACATAAAAATAATACAATAAAACCAAAGATCTTCCGTCAAAGTTTTTTTTTTTAAAAAAAAACCAGTACTCCATTCTTCCTTCTTTTAACTTGCCTCTAGCAGCCCCCTTCCTTGTTTACCAGTAAGGAAGTCTCAAAAATAGTGAGAACTTTAAAAAGCTATAAAAGTCTTTGACTGCAAAGAGCGTCTTTTAGCTTAATAAAGACAATAATCCTACAAACTGATTAAGAAATAAAGTGCACAACTTATTGTCTGTTTAAAAATAAATTTCAAAATGACTGCTTTTCAACAGCAAAGTGATTGCAGCCCTGCCCCCCCCATCTGAAAGTCTCACCAGCTGCTTCAAAGTACAGCTCCTGAGACTTCCTGCAGACTTGTATGGAGGATCTTGTGGGGTGATTCTAGGAGTATCCCTAACCTATGAGAGTCATATAAATTAAGGGAACATGGTTCCTTCGTTAGTAGTTGAAAAGTCTTGGTCCAGAGGAAACCTCACTAGACTGGTCAGTCGGCCATTTCAGGAGGTTCTGAAACAAATGACTAAAGTTATATCTGACAACATCCATATTTTGCATCATCTAATACTTTTTCGGCACTTCTGTATTCTCAAATCATAATCATAAGATAATCATAAATTATCTTATTCATGTTTGTCCAATAAATTAAGAGTATTATATGGACCTAGAAAAGGGTACATTAAAATAGATATACTTTAGCTGTAAATAGAGAGATCTGGTTTCTGACTGTAAATAGATGATGAAGATGATTCTAAATCTGATAAAGGGACAGTTATTCTAGTTTTTGTTCATTATTCACTGAAACATATGACTGAATAAATAGAAGAGTAATATGAAAAATAAATCAATAGAAGTGATATTTAAATTTATTTTCTTTATGAACGGGTCTTATTGAAGACTCTTAATGAATAACCAACTTCTTTTTTTTCCATTCCAAAATTGAAACTTTCTAATCAACTATTATGCATCAATGATGGGTATCATAACTTCCAATTGGATTTTTTTTTTAAAAAAATAGCTTTTTCAGTGTTGATCTTTCTATATATAGAAGTTCAGTGAAACTATTGGCTCCAAGGCTATGGCTATTAACTCATAGACTACTGTAGCCATTGTTGTTTGAGGTTACATCACTGAAGAAAAAAGACTTCATTAAGTCATGACAGAGGCTGTTTCATATTATAAACATTGTGAATGTCTAGTGTGCAAAATCCTTCTTTAGTAAGTGGACATATATAACCACTTTACTACTAAAGATATCACCAACAGTGTCATGCTGGGGAGTAAGGTAATTCTCTTACTTTATACACTTTATTTCATGCCTGGCTTCATTGTTATTATCTCAAAATATGTTCTGACCCATTTTTTTTAGCTCCACCTACTCCAGCTCAACCAACTACCAAAACAACCACACCAGAAGTGGTCCCTGGTAAGAAATTTCATACTTTTATTTTCTATAACCATGCATTAATGAGTGATCAAAAATGTAGTCCAGTAATTGATTTTTATATTCACATCACTTATTGCATTTCATGTGTTAAGGATCAATGGAAGAAACATGTAGGAGCCTGTGGAGGGAGGGGCTAAGTTAAATGGTTTGTCTCTGTCTATTTTACTCCTTCAGCGTTAGACTGTGGGGAATGAAAATTTCACTAATTACATATAATTTTTAATGATTAGCTGTAGTACTGTCACCCCGATACTGGGAGTAATTATGCTACACTATAATTATACCCATTATAGATTGTATGCCTTATTTATTTTCTTTGATGTAACTGTTCACATGATGCTATTTCACCCTCAGAAAAGTTGCCTGGTAAGTCTGCACAAGAATTCCAAAGTTGAATATTACAAACTATGAATGCTATGAAAAAACATTCTTTATGTTTCTCATAATAAAAGTTTATGTAAGAACTAATCCTAATTAATTGGCAAAATTTTGAAAATTGCTTATCTTTGAGGTATCAGAAGCCTCATTATTTCCAATCTTCCATTCAAATACATGGATTCTGACTTATCTTTCTCAGCTAAATCCATAAGACTGGTCAATGGAGAAAACAGCTGTGAGGGACGTGTTGAAATCTTGCACAATAGATTGTGGGGCACCATCTGTGATGATTCCTGGGACTTAAAGGACGCAAAGGTCGTGTGCAGACAGCTCAATTGTGGCAGCGCCGTCACAGCACACGGAAGCGCTTTCTTTGGTCAAGGCTCAGGAAACATAACTCTGGATGATGTAAATTGTAGAGGGAATGAGGATAGATTGGAGGAATGTTCTCATGGAGGATGGTATCGTCATAACTGCAACCACGGAGAAGATGCTGGTGTCAAGTGCTCAGGTATCTTCCATAGTCTGAAATGTAATGGCATAACAGGAAAGAAAGTGCAATATGTTTACATACTTTCCTCATAATGGAACAAATATAATATTATACATATCTTCAAAAGAAAGGAAAAAGCAGCACATAGGCTAAGCAGTACACATCTGTACTAGGCAGATTCATCAAACAGAATATCAAGCCACAGGATGTAGCATTAGGCTGTAATAATGAACAAGAACTAGAATGTTTTTGTCAAAGAACATCATGCATGGCTGATTTTACCTTCTTTTTTAATAAATATTAGTTTTGTACACAAGAATGTGGTAGACAGTAGACATGCCCAAATGCTGCTATTAAGTACGGTAGCTTGACAGTTGGCTGAATGAATAACTGCATCCAAAGAAGGTTCATGGATGATTTGGACAGAAGATACTGAGTTCCAGAGGTCTCTCCTCCCTTTCCTGTTCAGCATTTTAATCAATGACTTTCTGGAACCAACTGAAGTTGGAACCAATTTCCTTTATAGGGAACATTGGTTGGAAACCCTGCCATAAATGCTCTTAGGGGACTCTAAACTAGATAGAAAATGATGTAGGTGCCATGAATCTTCCTAAGGTGAATTTTGAAAGCACTGATTTGTGAAAATAGAAACATAGTGACATGGAAACCTGATGGCAGAAAACGATCCAGGGTTCCATTGAGTCTGTCCTCTGAGGGTTTTTTTTGGTTTGCTTTTGTTTTTTTTAAATTCATTTATTTGTTTTTAATTATATTGTTTTTTGTTTTATTATTATTTATTTATTATGTTTTTATTTTTAATTTTTTGTCAGATGATAGACATATGTTTATCCCAAACGTGTTTAAAACTCGGCTACGGATGATTGACCCAGTATCTCTGCTGGAAGTTGGTTCCAAGCTTTCATTACTCTTTCTGTGAAGTAATAATATGCAGGCATTATTTATACAATAATAATGCATTTGCCATTGTGAACATGCATCAGTAAATAATAACAATGGCAAGATTCTGTAAATCACTAGTGTGATATAGCATTAGTCAGCAATGTTCAAAGAAATACTGTAAAGCAGTTGCCTATTGAAGACATCCTACTCCAATGTTATGTTGGATAGAGAGGCAAATTGTACATATTGTATATAGAATTTGTTTTATGTTGGTCTTCAGTGTTATTATCTCACTATTTACAGATTCCATGACTTGTTTTCTTTTTTTTGTAGGACATACTACAGCTATTCCAGAACCAGAAATACCAGCTAGTAAGTCTGTATCCTTAATCCAAAATTAATCACTCTGAAATAAGAACAGGACAAGAGATCCCCAAACATATATCTTTTGCTGCTTCTACACTAAAGGAAAAAGAATGGATTCTTGTGACTCACCCAGGGTTGTGCCCACATGCTGTTGGTTGACAGATCTCTTCCAGGTTCAGTTCAAGGTGTTGTTCATGACCTATCAAGTCTTAATAGGCACAGGGCCATGATATTTGAGGGAACATCTTTCTCTGTTGCATCTACCCATACCATGTGGTCTGTCAGAAAAGGCATGTTTTGGGTCTTCTCTATTAAGGAGTAATCACTTAATGAGGTCTGGTTAGGCTGTGCATGGCGCCCATTCTTTGGAAATATTGTCCCCCCTCCCAGAGATTAGATTGGCCCCAATCTTACTGGCCTTATAGAAGGCTCTCAACTTGTCATGATCCTTGGACTTGAGCCTGTTAAATGTGTGTATTGGGAGTGAAGCATGAATTATAGACTCCTGGTGATTATGTTCTTTATGGTTTTAATCAGGTTGTTAATGGTTTTATACCTCTATTTTTGTGGTTTTATTTTTATTTTATTTGGTCTTATTTTTGTTTAAAGTCTGAGCTGCCCAGAGTGACAAATGTGAGATTGGCAGATATGTATATTGAATTAAATAATTAGTGAAAAAGAGATCTGCGCATTTCCCGTACAACCAGCTGAATAGAATTTAAAAGTAGAGCTTTGGTAACATGAAAGTATCAGTTAACTGATTCTTAACTAACCCTGTCCTATGCAAAATTTCACAAATTCTCTGTATCTTTGAAGTTTCAGGTGCCTCATTATTTCCAGTTTCCCATTCAAATGCATGGATTCTGTTTCATTTTTCTCAGATGAATCTGTAAGACTGGTCAATGGTAAAAAGAGCTGTGAGGGACGTGTTGAAGTCTCACGCAATGGATTCTGGGGGACCGTCTGTGATGATTCCTGGGATCTAAAGGATGCAACAGTCGTGTGCAAGCAGCTTGGTTGTGGGCGCGCTATCAGAGCATATGGAAGAGCTTACTTTGGTCAGGGCTCAGGAAATATAACTATGGATGATGTAAATTGTAGAGGGACTGAGAACAGATTGGAGGAATGTACTCATAAAGGATGGTATCGCCATAATTGCAACCATGGAGAAGATGCTGGTGTCATGTGCTCAGGTATCTTCTGTAGTCTGAAATATAAGAAAACATTTTTAAAAATGCAATATGTTTACATGTTTTCCTTATAATGGAACAGGTTTAATGTTACAGATATTTTCAAAAAGTTTATACATTCTTCAAATAAAGGAAAAAAAGCACTTCCTAGGCAACAAAGATGATTAGGGGACTGGAGGCTAAAGCATATAAAGAACGGCTGCTGGAATTGGATATGTCTAGTTTAATGAAGAGAAGGACGAGGGGGGACATGATAGCAGTGTTCCAATATCTCAGGGGTTGCCATAAAGAAGAGGGAGACAAGCTATTCTCCAAAGCGCCTGAAGGCAGGACAAGAAGCAACGGATGGAAACTAACCAAAGAGAGAAGCAACCTAGAACTAAGGAGAAACTTCCTGACAGTTAGAACAATTAACCAGTGGAACAACCTGCCTCCAGATGTGGTGAATACTCCAACACTGGAAGTTTTTAAGAAGAGACAGGACAGCCATTTGTCCGAAATGATATAGGGTTTACTGCCTGAGCAGGGGGTTGGACTAGATGACCTCCCAGGTCCCTTCCAACTTTATTATTTTATTATGGATCATCGCACAGTCAGCCAGATGTTCAGACTGGATTTGGCATTTTGTCTACCTATCGAGTCCTTACCCAGGACCTGGGATAGGCAGATGTGGATGTTTTATGGTATTACAGGTATCGTCGCAGGATGGAAACAGTTCCTAGTAAGGCCGCCTTTTGCAATTGACTAATGGCAAATTTGTCATTGCCAATGGTATTATTATTATTATTATGCTAAATACATCTAGTTTGACATCTATAATGGACATGTTCCTCAAACAGAATATTAAGCCACAGGTTGTGAGCATTAGGCTTGTTATAATGAATGAGAAATAGGACACTTTTGCCAAAGATGATTCATGAAAACTATTGTATCTTTTTTTAAAAAAAATATTAGTTTTGTGGTGAGAACGTAATAGATACAGTATACATGCCCAACTGCTATTATTAAGTAGCTTGACAGTTGGCCAAATGACTGTATCAAAAGAAGACTCATGGAGTTTTGGAGGGAAGGTCTTGAGTGCCACAGAGCTCTCTTCCCTTTATTATCAATATTTTAATAAATGACCTGGTTGCAGGAGTTGTGGAAACTCTAATAAATTTTTGCAGATGAATAAGACTAATTTCATTTAGCAGGTATAATTCTCTTTTTGTCCCCAATATTAGTCCCCCTGTATTTATTTGTTCCATTGCTTGATTAACTTTGTTTTCTTAACAGGTTATTCTACACCTGCTCCTCTGGTTATAACGACAACCCCTGGTAAGTCTGCATCTGAGATCCTCGTTTGTCAATCAGAGAAATGGCTTTTGACGTTCTCAAAACCATGAAACCTGATCATTTTAGCTTTTTAGCTTTTTTCTACCAGAAGCTAAAGATACTTCTGCAGTCATCAGTAATAAGTCTGCATCCCAACATTCATTCAAATGTATCTATATCCAATTTTTCCAGTATTTATATCCAATATATCCAGTGTTAGCTAAATTTGGGAAGCACGTGGAGATTACATTATGATCATGCACATCCAGTGGGGTACAGGTCCTTTGATCATAATGATCATAACATAATATCCACATGTTTCCCAGATTCAGTAAATGAAGGATTGCAGCCATCTTTTTCTCATTTCAGCTATGAGCAGAATTTCTTAGTCTTATATGGTCAAATGCTGTTTTTTGTTTCTGGAACATCTTTCTGCTTTTGTATTGCTAAGTATAAAAATGGAATCTGCAGAAAGTTCTATGTAAAATCATCTTAATTAGAGCAGAGAGGAAAAAGATGTATATGTATACAGAAGGCAATCATATCCAACCATCTCTACAAGTCTTCCCAATTAAACAGTTATTATTACAGTTATTATCCTTTAGTCCTCTTATAATTGAATAACTAGAGAAACAGAACAAATGCTGTCCTAAAATCCTAGTTTGTGAAACAAAATGAAATTACGATGAAAATAGGTATGAAACCTGTTTAGTAAGGGTGGGGCAAATGTGCATAATAAAAAAAATATATATTTCTAGTTATGTCTTTGCATATTGTAAAACAGTTGTAGATAGTATTTCCCAAATCTGACTATACTGGGCTTTTTTCAGCTACTTTTCTTCATATGTTTATGGATATCACTTTGTGTGCTATTTCTTTTTTAAAAAAAAATATAAAATATTGCACTACCCTTGCCTTACAGATTTCCCTAATTAATTCAATTTAAAAGTAAAATAATATGTTGGTGAAGTTGCCTCTATTGTATTCTTCCAAATTCTCAGACATTTAACTTTTTTTTAATGAAACACCACCCTGGAAAGTTATTCTTGGTCTTATTTACTATAACAAAAATAAATTAACAGAGATTGGTAGCAGGAGAAATAGTTTTTAAAATCTACAAAGTTTTATGTGCACAATATTTGGCTTTGTGTTGTCTAGCAAATCAATGTGGAGGCCAGTTCACAGATGCTTATGGATCCTTCTCTGGACCTTATTATTCTGGAAGCCACACCAATGAGACCTGTGTCTGGATAATTCACGTGAGGCCCCTTGAACGCATCAATTTTAAGTTCAAGTCTATAAAGTAAGTTGAAAGATTCTTTTAACTTTTTCCTTCTATATACTTAATAAAAAGGTTTTGAGTTTGTAACCCACTGATATATTCTCGGTGTAAATCAGCAACAATTACTATTCAAGATTAAATCAGATTGGGTTAACAGGCATGATATAAATTTGGGATGACTAAAACTAAGCAATCAATTCAACACTTAACAACACTTAACTGAATTCAACATAGTTCCACTGAAATAATGTCTTTACAATTTTACAATAAATATGCCCCTTAAAAGAAACTCTTAAGTATTCCTTTTGGGCTTACGTGATTATTTCTTTCTTTAAATGATTTAACATAATTTGGTGTACAGGTAGTCCTTGTTTTTTTACAATCAGAATTGGGACCAGAATGTATGTTGTTAAGCAAGGCCATTGTTAAGTGAGATATACCCAATTTTATAACCTTTTTTGCCACAGTTGTTAAACGAATCATTGCAATTAAGTGAATCACATGGTCATTAAATGAAACCATCTTCACCCATTTACTTTGCTTGTTGGAAGTTGGCTGGGAAGATCGAATATGGTAATTACGTGACCCCAGCGGGACACTGCAGTTGTCATAAATACATGTCGGTTGCCAAGTGCCTGAATTTGGATCACATAATGCTGAATGCTGCAACAGATGCAAATCCAAGGACGAGTCATAAGTCCCTTTTTTCAGTGCCATTGTAACTTTGAATAGTGGCTAAACAAAGGGTTGTAAGCTGAGGGCTACTTGTAGTGGATAAGGCATCAGGCTAAAGACTGGGAAACCATAAGTTCTAGTCCTGCCTTAGGCACAAAGCCAGCTGGGTGACCTTCGGTCAGTCATTTTCTCTCAGTTCTAGAAAGGAAGTAATGAAAAAAAAATCACTGACAAGGTTTGCCAAGAAAACAACAGGGATTTATCCAGGCACTCACAGAGAATCAGATGTGGTCAAATGGAAGAAAAAAAAATGATGGCATAATAAGTGATAAGGAGTCAAATTTTTATCTATTTCTGTACAGCCTGGACTGTGATAAAGAATATATTGAGATTTATGATGGACTCCGATATAGTTCATCTCCAATTGGAAGAACTTGTTCTGCCGCCTATCTCAACTATACCTTTTCATCAACTTCCAACATAATGACAATAGTTTTGCATAGAGATTCAGATTATTCAGGAAATGGATTCTTTGGTCATTACTACTCTGTTCCAGCAGGTAAGGATATTTATGTAATTCATTTAAGTTGTATCCTGTTAATGATGTGAGTTAGGGATTCAGTATTATTTTAAAGAAACTTCTATTTAGTTTTATACTGTGTAGGGCCATTGGTTCATATGAATATGGCACTGTTTCAGCAGCCTATCTTCATAAATGAAATAATCTTTACCATCTTTGAACTTTCTGAAATTGAATGATATTTAAATAAATGAAACAAAATAAAAACACAACAATATAACAATAATACAATAAATTGGAAATGGCATTAGATCCAACAGAGCAGAACACCGCTCCTTATCACTCATTTAATATTTAGACTGGGAGAATCAACAATGTTTTAAGATGGAGCTAGACTAGTGGCTGTGTAACAGTTGTATCTTCACAAACAAGAGAGGTGGTACAATAGAACAGATTCTCTCCAGTTGTGTCACATAATATATTCAAAGTGCTTAGAGAAATGCTTAGAGAAAGTTCAAAAATAGGAAAATGGGATGCAGACATTACTTTCAAGCCATTTAGAATTTCAAAAGTAAACCTTAAAGTAAGTATTCAGTACAACTCTTTCAGCACTGATATAATCAGTGGTGGGATTCAGCCGGTTTGCACCAGTTCGGCAGAACCGGTAGTTAATTTTTTGTTGCCCAGGCCCAGAATAGACTTCCAGAAGTGGCATCCACACAGAGAACTGGTTGTTCACATATTTGAATCCTACCACTGGATATAATCCAGTTTGGTTGTACTCGTTTGTTCGATAACTGTACTGATTGTATTTCAATAGAAGCCTCACCATATGTAATCCAATCTCATATGTTCAGGTTACTGAACACTTGTTCCCCCCATTTGACCCATCGCTGTTAAGAGATTTCAGATTTGGTTCCAAAGCAGCCAATCACTACTTGCCTTTTGGGTCTTGCTACCAGATGACTGATGCAAACGCCAGAGGGAGGTGGGGAAAAAGGGTGGGGATGCAGCCACACTATCTTCCCCTGTGCCATGCAACCTATGGGATTCTGGGAAGTATAGTTGGAAGGCGCAGTACTGCTGAAGTGGCCACAATTTCCCCAGGGGCTTTAGCATTCTGTAAGTTAGCCCATATGAGTTACCTCGGTTCAATAATTGTTGCCCTATACCAGGGGTAGGCAACCTCGGCTCTTTTATGACTCATGGACTTCAACTCCCAGAATTCCTGAGTGAGCATGGCTCAGCTTGGAAACCTCTCCCATAGCTGACTCAAGAATTCTGGGAGTTGAAGTCCATGAGTCATAAAAGAGCCAAGGTTGCCTACCCCTGCCTATACTTTCCAATTTCATCCAATTAAGTTTACAAACCAACAGACCCAAGAGTTTTAGTAGTATATAGATGGGGTAAAAGTAATTATAATCATGTTTAATTGTTTTATTGTATTCACAGAATCGACACTTACTACACCAACTACTGCTCCTAAAGCTACGAGTAAGATATTATTCTTTTTCTTTGATATTGTTTAGTTGATGAGTTGTAAAGAGTTAAGCGGGTCACTGGCGATCACAGGTTATCTAAGTTATCTAGGAATAAGCCAATACTTGTTTTACAAGTATTGTGGCATGAAGGTAGGACAATTTGAATCCACTACATGATATGAATCAATTATTTGCTTTGTAAAAAATATGGGTTAGGCATGATGGATTTAGCCCCCATCCCCTCAATTTGGATCAAAGTAGAAGCAGGCATAGTAGAATAAAGGTTTCTCTTTGTTTTCTCTTAAAGACTGATTCATGAATTACTACTGTCATATTTGGTGTGTTTTCAAAATGCCAGAATCTGGCATTTCATAGTCATTTGACTAAGAAGTACTTTCTACTCTGCAAGGGATTGTAAACCTAAGATTTAAAAAGATTTTTTAAAAAAGATTTAAAAGTATTATGCTTTCACCATTTATATGTCTAAATCAAGCAACAGATTAATGTCTAATAGTACTATTAGACAGTACAGCAATCATGAATATCATTTTGAATAAACTTCAGCATTAACCTAATCAAATAGTTCTATTCAAAGACCAATGTTGGTATAATTGCTTAATAATTTAATGAATATTTAATTTCAAATGAGCTTTCCTGATTTCCTAATTTTAAGTAAATCTTTCAGTCCTCTTTAAACTGAATTTAGATAATAGGCTTACTCTTTTTTCCTACTTTAGAGTCTACCTTTGAAATTTAGAATGAGAAATGTAGAAGTGTAGAAGTTTGAACATCTGTTTTAGCAGCCCCTGAAATCTTCATTTTTCCCTCAGGAAATCATGCATTTATTCCCTTTTCATAGTTCCTATAGGTTATAATACATAGTATATGTCTCATATAATGAATTTGACACGTCAAAAATAAATTTCACATATAGCACTTGAATATGTATTGTCCCATAGGTTTGGGTGGCAAGGATTCAAATTGACCATAGTGTGCACTCTGATTCTTGATCCAGATTTATAGAATTTCTTGATCACATGCAAGTTTACAAAATCCTAAATCAATCAAAAAGAAGAAGAAAGCTAGTTAAACATTTTAATATTCTCCTTGTCGTTATGATGTTAGAAAAAGGTCTGTCGGCTATTGTAAATTGAACAGTTAAACCACCAGTTTGATGAAGATGTTTAATTTTGTTATATTTTCAGTTTCCCAGTTTGCGTTACAGATGCAAGAATTGTAGTTTTTCTTTTTTAGAATCTCAGTTACAAAATATATTTGTAAGAATCTGGAGAGTCCTGGAATCATATGTACATAACTAGTCTGGCCAAATTGTCTAATACTGGCTTCTCCAATCTAGTATGCTGGGACTATAGATTGAGGAAGGTTTAAGCACGACATTTACCCTTTGACACAATTATGAAAAGATAGTAGGGATGAAGTTGTGGCATGATAAAACAGTTTATTTCTTAGTTTTGATTGAAACTTAATATATTATGATGATACAATACTAAGCTTGTACTGTGTACAAATTGATACACAAAGAACTGAATTCAGATAGGACTCATCTAACATTATTTTGATTATATAGAACACAAGCATTTATAAAAAGAATTGTTTAGCTTCCAGAGAGAAGTGGAATTTGACATTCTAGGTACAGTTTCACTGAAACCAATTTGTTGTTTTAAGGCAGTGATGGCGAACCTTTTAGAGACCGAGTGCCCAAACTACAACCCAAAACCCACTTATTTATCGCAAAGTGCCAGGGCGGCATCAGTATTGAGGTGCCCTCAGAGGGGGGGGCATGGTCCACTGGGTGGGCATGGCTGTAGTGGTGACGGCAGACTGGGTGAGCGTGGCATCCCCGGGAGGGCAACGCCGCTTGCTCGCTCACTTCCTGCCCTGTCGCTTCCAAACGCCACATGCTCGCTACTCTGGCGAACTCTGCTGGGGAAACGGTGTGTATGCCCACAGAGAGGGCTCTGAGTGCCGCCTCTGGCACGCGTGCCATAGGTTCGCCACCACTGTTTCAGGCTTGTGATCTTCCATTTTTTTTAGTTTACTTTTTTAGTTCAAAGGTCCATGAGTGTACTTCTGATCAACTTCTTTTACTGACATTAAGTATTCCAAAAATTGATCAATGATTGGGTGGTTTGCATTACTGACCTGTGAATATAACACATACACAAATTGACTTCTCTCTCCCTTATACTGCATATTCCTGAAAATGATAAGATGAAGTTATTTCATAATTGTTTCTGTTAAACCCACTTTTCTATGTATTATTTGATCTGGATGCTTCTACTCTCAGGAAAAGTGAAAGTCTCCTTTGCTGGCTAAGTAGAAGAGATATTTCTTAATTAGTTGATCTTAATTAGTTGGTCCAAAAGCAGATTCATGAATTAAAATAATACTAATAATTAGATGTATTTGCATTTTGCTTAACGTATCTGTGTTATTATTTAGGGCTTTTGTGTTCTGATGGACAAATGAGTGCATGGATCAGCATACCTTTTCTCCATTCAGTCGGTTATAATGCATCACAAGTTTACCTGAACTCTCCAGATAGAGCATGTTCAGCTCAAATCAGAGGCGATTATGTTTACTTTAATATACCATTCTATGGTTGTAACACAGAGATAAGGGTGAGAATTAATTGTTGTTGTTAAAACTAATAATTATCTGCTTTGTTGGCTCTTCCTGTCTTAACTATTATTATAAGAAAATTTATTCTGGTTTTGGATTTAAAATGAACTAATGTTATGTTTAACAACAATACGAAATGTAACTTTAAAGTTAATTTCAGATATTGGGTTTGGGAAGTTCTGCTTAACTTTAAATACATTAACTGGAACCAATATTATAATTAAAATAAAAAAGGGAATTTTGGAAAGGAGAAAAAAAATTGATATCCTTATGTTTTTGAAACTGACTTCCTATTTCATCATCTGAGTTGTGGAAGAGCCAGGGTTGTGGCTACTGAAATGATTGTAATGGGTAACATGGCTTTTGTTAACATAGCTTTTGTTATTATAATTCTGAAATAATAGCACTCTTTAAACTGGTGGTGTTTAATGAGTATTTTGATGTCTACACTGTTGATTAATTTTTCTTTTTTTCTGTGCTTTTTTAGACAAAGAATAATGACACAATAATTTATTACAATGTAATCAAGACAATCAACTCCGATTATATTATTACAAGAAAGAAAAACTTCCAATTTCATGTTTTGTGTGAAATGAAGCAGAACACTATTGTGGAGACGATGTTTATTGCTCACAATGCGATTGACCTGACTGAAAGGAAAATTGGCCATTACAATGTTTCTCTGGCATTCTATTCCTCACTATCATTCAGCCATAGAATTGTGGGATCACCATACTACGTTTCACTCAACCAGAATTTATATCTCCAAGCTACTCTGCACAGTTCTGATCCAAATGTTATACTCTTCCTAGACACATGTGTCGCATCTCCAGATAGTAATGATTTTAGAACCTTGACCTATGACTTAATCCGAAGTGGGTAAGTGTGTATTAAATATGTAAGAACCATAATCCCAAACTTGTCCACAAAGGAATTGCTGTTGTGTCAGCCACACAGATTCTGAATTAGATTTTCTTCTTATGTCTTTATTTCTTAAAACAGTATAGAAAGAAGGGCAGGGTTCATTTGCAAACTATAACCACGCATTTTCAAACAAAACAATGCCATGTTCTTTTAGTATCAAATATTTCACTTCTTGTCAAATATTAAATGTTAATATCAAATTATAAAATATGTGTTAATATCAAGTAATCCAATCGCATATAGAAAAACTAAGGAGAATAAAGGGATATTGTGCGCTGAATGGAATGGTCACAAAATGTATACTAATGACCAAACTTTCTTTTGCTTATGGTCAATTTTACATATTTTGTAAATAAAAAAAATAGTTATTACTGCAGGGCCATTGCCTTGCTCTTACTATACAGTCCTCTGTACTAACAACATATTACTTTCCCTCCCAAGTACATATCTTGAAGCACTTTTACGAGCTCCAAATTTGGGTTTCATTTATTCATTTTGATATTCCAATATTATATGCTTTCTCCATTGTTCTCTAGTGCATCTCATAATCATCAGAGTCAGCCTACTCTGCAGAAATTTAGTAATTATATATATCATTACGCTGTAATAAAATATTTGAAGTAAACGTTTAGGCATACCTGAAACAACTTTTTTTTTTTCATTTTTCAGATGCCCACGAGACTCTACTTACAGAAGCCTGTTCTCACCAAGAAACAATATAGTTCGTTTCAAATTCAACTCCTTTAAGTTCCTTAACGAGCACAATTCAGTTTACCTACAATGTAAATTAGTAGTGTGTAGACTAGATGATCATTCATCTCGATGCTACCAGGGATGTTTAATGAGAAAGAAGAGAGGCGTGGATGAAGCTCAGGAGAAGATTAATGTTGTTGTGGGACCACTCAAACTTCTGAAAGATAAGAATCAAATCCAAAAATAGGGATTTCCCCCCTCCCCCATTTGACTATTTTTTCTGGTTAAAATGATGAAAGCTAGATAGATGCCTAAAATAAGAATCACACCCATGTTGCCCCATAGATAAAACGGTTCAAAACCATAGAAAAATAGTTTCTTTTATACAAGCAACTAAAAGCAAATGAAATAATAAAAGAATTTGTTAAGATCTTCAGAGCTCTTCATCAGGCAATATTAGGGGATGAGGGAAAGGAAGATTAGTCTAGCCAGCATTTTACGTAGTCATGGTCTTTATATTTATGGCTTTTTCCTAGGGGGTTATGCAATTTGGTGAGACCAATACATCATGATATAAACAGGCTGTTTAATTTTGTTAAGCACTTTATACAAAAATGTCAAAGTCCACTTGAGGTTTGTGTTCTTCATGATGATTGTTAGCCTTATGATAATATCTGAGAGTTATTATTAAAACCATTAGCGCTATCCAAATAATTTTACTATTTGATACTAGAAAACAGCTAACTTTTAAAATGTTCTCCACATGTTTTGTCATTCTTATTTTATTAAAATCCGACATAAAAGATATACCAATTCTAACAGTCAACCTACAAAGAAAAATATGCACCTGTATTTTCATACAGGAAGGATGTATTTAATATATAAATCGTATAAATATATCATGTTAGTGTAGCATCTTTTCTTGCTCGGAAAAGCAAAATTACTTCAATTATTTCTGAAAATAATTGCAGATTATCCTTCTTTCTCCCAGCCAATAGCACTTTATGAGGCAGCTTCTGTTGTCTGAGAAGCTAAATGATATATTAAGACTTGGTCAGACTTTTAATAAATTGAATAATTTGCTGAAGACTAAAGGGGTCAATATAGGCCTACATGAGACTGCTAAACTAATGAAAAAAGGATAATTTTAAAAGAACCCCTAAAGATGGATGAGCTACAAAATCGAAAAGTTTTAGGATTCTATGCTGTGTATAAGAATAGAAGAATTTTGTCACTAAATTAATCTCAAATTATAGGAAATTGTATTTTGCTTCCAATGCATTGCAATAAAACTGCTATCTTTGCACACTAAGAGTGAGCTTATTATTTTGGTGAAATGGCAGCTACTTTTATAGAAAAAAATTGTACCTGTGAATTATTATTTTTATTTTAAGATTTTTATTCCACTTTTGTTTTATGAAACAGCTGGCCCCAAAGAAAGATACAATATATGTTACATTTTACAAGAAATTTGAAATAAAAATAGTTTCACCGTAGAAACTGCATAACCAGAAGAACCCTTATTTTGGGGAAACCTAAGAATATCCACATCTTTAAAATAATAAAATGCTATTATGTGTACAAAAAAGATACAGGACAGAAGAACTTCAGATGAAAAATAAAAAAAGATTCAAAAGCCCAATCTGACCACAAGTTACATTTTGAAATGGAGACAAGCAACTATTGTGCTAAATGCCATCTGCAACCCAACGGGCAAGGAATTTCACAGACTTGTTATCAAGAATGGCTTTTCTCAGGTGGCAGTGTCAAATTTCTAGAAAATTAATTTTCTCAAAAAGATCTAAACGTCTGATCAAATATATAGGATAGAAGGAATGAACTTCAGAACCTAACACACATACAAATTTGTAATTTGTTACAGTCACACCAAACAGCTCAGCGGCAAATTGGAAATTGGTATAGCTCCTTTAGAACAAATATTGCTGTAATGCCTGGGTTATGCATTTTTCTGTCCAAGCTTAAGAGTAGCTCCAATTATGACAAATTACTATAATCCAATTTAGATTTAGATATTGTAGCCAGGCAACCTGTATCTAAAAATATAGTCACATTCTTTCTCATGGAGTATAGTTTAATGAAAGTAATGGCTCAACATTTATTGAAAGATATTGTAAATGCATTTTGGCACAGTTTCCAAACATTTCACCTGGAAACCCTTCAGAGTATTCTGGAATTCACAAATAAGTCTAAAGGATCCCTCACTAATGTAAGTGACTCTGATGGCTACCAATCCAATCCATAGTCAAAAATAATTTGACTATGAGAACAGGGACATAAGAAACCTTCCCCGTTCGTAATCTTTACACAATGCTTAATTATGAAATTATGAGGATGCTCTGCTTTATGTGCTGATGACAGACACTTAAACTGGTGATATAGTAAAATTGCACATGCTTGTCATGGAAATCATAAGATCTTCAGATGGAAGTATGAAAGAGATCATATGTGCTTGTGAGTCTTAAAGAACTTCAGATTCTCTACATCATATAATTATCCAGCCTAGCTCAGATAAGGCAATGGAGGAACCTGTGTATGAACAAATGTTCATGCTGGTCCTGTAACCTATCTTAAGATGTGCATACTCAGATCCCTCACTGAAGGAGAAGAATCTCTTGATAAGTCTAGTAAACCACAATGATTCATCTCAATTCCTGCAGTCTGGGTCGATATTGCATCAAATAGGTAGAGCTAAGTCAAGCTAACTATACACCAGCTCACCCTTTCAAATCAAATCTCATTAAATATGCCACCAATTAAATTTAAATGATAAATTAAGCATACCTGATATTGACTAATAGAATCATTAGACAACTTGCTCTTTTTTCTTTTTATTTCTGCACCCCTGTTCAATTTTTGATGTGATCACTCTCCTTGCTTACTTCAATTTGATTTATGTTATTTGCCCAAGCTGACATACAACAACATACAACAATATATCTATCTAGATCTATATCTACCAACAACATACAACAATATATCTATCTATATCTATATCTACCATATATCTACATCTACATCTACGTCATCTACATCTGCTGTAATATCTATATCTATCTATCTGTCTGTCTGTCTGTCTATCTATCTATCTATCTATCTATCTATCTATCTATCTATCTATCTCAGGTTTTTAGTTATCAGTATTACTTCCCTTGTAAAGAGAATATTTCCCTACAATTGCACAGTCTTTCAGAATTTCCAGTAGTCAAGTAGAGATCAAGATTCTAGACCTCAATGAGGCTGGGATCACTACCCTGCTACCCCATAACAGGCATCCCTTGAAAGTAGAAAACTCATGCTTTTTGTGCCAGAAGTTTTGGAACTCAGTATCTGGGCACTTGTCAGGCCATTCTGACAACACCCATGTCAGCACGTGTGTAAGCGTGTGATCAGTGGCAGTTTCTGCAGCCATATCCCTAGCATTGAGGGGAGACTCAGGAAACTCTTGAATTGACAGAATATTAATAGCTGGAGCAGGATCTGGCTCTACTTGGTTCAGGGGTAGTCTGCTCAGGCCATCTGCATGACCCATTTCCTTCCCTGGTTTGTGGACTAATGTGTAGTCATATGCTGACAGGAAAATGGACCATCTCAGCATACGAGGAGAAAATGATATGTGGGGTCTGTTTGTTAGTGGTAAACAAACCCAGCAGAGGCTTGTGGTCAGTGTAGACCGTGAAATGGTGGCCATATAAGAAATCATGAAATTTCTTAATGCCTGCCACTATGTCCAAGGCTTCTCTGTCAATTTGGCACGAGTTTTCTACTTTCAAGGGATGCCTGTTATGGGGTAGCAGGGTAGTGATCCCAGCCTCAATGAGATCTAGAATCTTGATCTCTCTGCCTGAGGGACATCCTGGGATAGTCAGGATGAAAACGCTTATGCATAGCCATCTTTGGTGGCCGGGGCTCAATAAAGCCATCGAGGCCCAGGTGCACGGGTGCCAAGTGTGCCAACAGTCTCGGCCTGAAATGCCTCAGGCCCCAGTGCATAGGTGGGAGGAAACTCAAACCCCATGTTCTAAGGTGCATATAGATTACATTGAGCCCTTTCAGGGGCAATTCTTCCTGGTTGTTGTTGATAGCCATTCTAAGTGGCTAGAGGTTGTTCCTGTTTCCTCCACTACTACTGCCAGGACCATCCAGGTGTTGAGAGGCATTTTTGCATCACACGGTCTTCCAGATGTTCTGATTTCAGATAATGGCCCTCGATTTACCTCTTCTGAGTTCCAGACCAACCTTATCTGCCATGCAACTTCGGCTCCTTTCCATCCATCCTCCAACAGAATGGCAGAAAGGATGATGTGCACCACCAAAGATGCCCTCAAGAAATTGGCTTACAGTAACTGGCATCACAGGTTAGCTGACTTTCTTCTTGCACACTGCACCACACCTTGCACGTCCACAGGGAAAAGCCCAGCTGAATTTTGCTGGGGTCGTAGACTCATTACTAAATTGGACAGGCTGCACCCAGACTGTGTGGCTTCACAGATGTCGCATCCGCGGGCACCGAGGAGACTACAGTTGGGTGATCCGGTCTGGGCTAGGAACTACACTCCTGGTCATCTGTGGGTTCCTGCTGTCATCTGTAAGTCTCTGGACCTCTATCATACTAAGTGACCTTGGGGGACGGCCACGTCCTGTGGCATCACATCAATCAACTGTGCTGGCGGTTGTCCCCTGTGGATTCTGCCCCTGCCTCCGCTCTTGGGGGGAAAGGGGCCCAGGAATTAAGTCGCACTTCAGGTCAACCTCCTGAAGCATATTCTCACACTTCAGGTCAACATTTTGGGACACAATTTCACTGTTCCTGGGACGTATCACATGTCGCTAGGGATTTCCCAGAGTAAGTGCAAGGACATCCTCAGAGTTCAGCTGTTGTGCCGAACAGGGAGTCATGCGTATCTGCAAGAGCTCCAAACAGGAATTCACCTGAGATGGGGTTTGCCATTGAGGTGGCTTCTGACTCTGGCACTTCGGCCACAGGGGATTGGGAGTATTGGGGCACACCTGCAGTGCAGGTCACGCCGAGACTGGTCACGGGCTTGAGGGACTAAGTTCCCTGGAGCCATCCAGAGTAGTTGGGGAATCCTCAGCCAATTCAAAGGGTTGGGGAATTTCAGCTGCTCTCACAGAGCATGGGGAGAGCTCTGGCAATTCTGCTGGCACGCCTCACCAGGGGTCACCTGCAAAACTTGCGCATAAAAGTCCTGGTCTAGCGAGCACA